GATTACTTCACTTGGACATGTCAAGGTATTCAAATGTAATCGTTGCGGGCTGTATCAGCATCTGAAGATTATAGCATCTCACATAACTACCACTCTTATTTTCTCACTATTGTGAATAGGAATTAAATTGACATGATATTTTTGTTATTGATAAAGTACGGTTCAATTATAACAGGATTTGGCAAAGGCCTTCGTGAAGGTTCTTGCTAATGACAAGGCCAGCAGGCAAGTTTTCAACATCTCAGGTGACAAATATGTCACATTCGATGGATTAGCAAAAGCATGTGCCAAGGTAAACAGTTCGTGTTAGTAAAATAGCAGATTTCTTAATCAGTCCTTTTTTTTTTCCCACTATAATAGATTTTCCCCCTTTTTTCCTCCTCTGGTATTGTGCAGGCTGGTGGGTTCCCAGAGCCAGAGATCATTCACTACAATCCCAAAGACTATGATTTTGGGAAAAAGAAGGCGTTTCCCTTTCGTGACCAGGTGAGTAGGGCAGTCACAAGATCGGTAGTTTGACGGTTTATAAATAAATAGGAACAATATGAGATGCGAAGGACTTTGAATTTTGATGAAGTGCGTAAATTGATGACAATTTGCAAATTATATGCAGCATTTCTTTGCATCCATAGAGAAGGCAAAGACCGTGCTGGGGTGGGAGCCAGAATTTGGGCTGGTGGAAGGTCTTGCAGACTCCTACAAGCTGGACTTTGGTAGAGGAACTTACCGAAAAGAGGCTGATTTCTCAACTGATGATATGATTCTGGGCAAGACTCTCGTTACTGCTTGATCCCCTGTTCATTCCGACAAGATTGCAATAGCTCATCGCACCATGTCCCACCCCAAACGTGTCCCCAGTGAGTTGGTTTGCTACGTTCATGAAACAACAGAGCCCAATTTTATCTTTCTGATTGGGCACAGCATCCATGCATCAAAGGCCCAATAGTTTAGAGTCCTCGCACGTCCTTTTCCCGGTCACTCTGTGTTGGTTGTTTTGATGAGCAATGAACAAGTTCCATCTCAAGCAAGTAATACGGTTGGTTGGATTCTTCCGTTCCAGCTTTTAATGAGACTATTTCCGGTCAAAAACAAATAGATGAAGATTCTGGAAATGGATTGATTGACCGATATACCCTTTTTATCCGGGCGAAAAACCGACGCAAGAAAGAAGATCGCGATAAAATCGTGATGATAAAATCACTCACTAACGGCAATTTGACCAGGATTATTTGTCATAAGAATCTAAAGAATTCATACACGTTAGATGAATTAAAAAAGAGTACTTTACTAATTTTGTTAAAGAAATTCAAAATATTTATTTGATAAAATTCTTTAAAAATATTATTAAAAAAGTACTCATCCGATCCTAAATATAATAACATAACAGGCGTTTTCGTGTACTATTGTGGAAGTGATATTATAGTTATTTGAAATTATTCATTTCCATTCTTACAGGCGTCTCATTTCCGTTATAATCTTCATCCTCGTTCCTTTTAATATAAAATTACGAATTAAAGACAACCTTGGATTAGATCTCGGCTTTAATATTTCAATAAAGTTCAAAACAGACAAAAATGTGTTATGCTTTAAATTCTGATGCCAAAAGTAAAACCACGAAAACAGAAAATAAGGAAAGAATAAACCGGTTGATATGGGAACCGGAGAGGCAGAAAGAATAAAGAAAATGTCGATCCTAGCTTTCCTGGTTCATTTCTTAGAGCATCAGAGGGAGATTTTATCTCCTAAGGGCTCACCAGGGAAATTTCCTGTACATGGCCTGAATTGTAGGACACCAAACGATCAGTTAATTGCTGTTGGGACCGCAAAGAAAAAGTAAGCCTTGAAATCTTGCGCGCAGCACAACGTTGACTGGTTTATTCGGGGGCCCCGAGAAGCTTCGCCAGCAGATTAACGTGTTCATTAAGGTATTTGGGAATATTGTGGGAGAATATTCTTTCCCCTTCATTCTACAACCTCGCCCCCCATTCTACATGCTGCTTCATCAGCACCCAAACTGTCCGCATCATTATCCATTTACCATTTGCAATGGTCGGTTCACTCTCAAACGTTCAACAACATTATCCTCAAACATTCAAGAAACGTACTATAGTTATGTTATATATTCCTTTTCATTATCCTAACTATTAGTAACTAATTCCTCCGCGGAAACGGTTTACCCCCTTGCCCCTTCAAATCCGATAAATGGGAACGAGTCCAACCTTGGTCACCCGGTCCAACGAGCATACACGTATCGCCACGTGGTGATTCCACGGCCTCTACTCAAGGCCCCGACGCTGACACTTGTCCCACAAAGTCGGGCGCGGCCTAGACACGCAACGGATTTCATGGACCCCACTCCCTCCCTCTAATTAATTTAAAATAACACATACGATGTATAATTACGCGCGATTTGAGTGGCCCCACGCTTAAGTGTCCGTTTGGATTAGCGATGAACAATTATGATTTTAGATAATCGTGAATTTTATAAGTGATACTGGTGATAAGTGACACTAGTCAATCGTGATTTCTGTTTGGATATATTTTTTTATAAGTGATTTTAAGAATTTTGATTATATTTGGTTTTTATTTATTAAAATCACTTATGGATGTATAATTACTAAAAAGGACATGAAGTTAATAAAGTTGTTTACATTTTCATAATTATTATATTTAATAATGAATCTTATTAAATATCATTTAATAAATGACATGAATATTTGAAGAGAGATTTTTGGAAGAGTAAATGCAGAGATATCAGTTTAGATAAAATAACAATAATAAATATAAAAATAAGCTGAAAAATTATTTGTCATCATTATTTTCTTAATTTAACGATGCTCCTAGAATCAGAATATTACCTGAATATTTGATTGCGTTGTTTCAATCATATATCATCCGTTATCTTATTTTTTTAAAAAATGTCTTTTAGATAAAATTAAAAGAAAAACAGTTTCATATTGTATTTTTTAAAAAAATTAAAATAATTACCATTAGAATGAGGGGTAGATTGGAGAAAATTTAGTTACTAAAGATTCATCGGGATTTTTCAAATGTATAAGCTACTTCTTATTGCTTATCCTAAAAGTGTGGTGGAAGGTTAAAATCACGATTCATCGGGATTTTATAAAAATTATCCAAACACCCTAAACATGCTTCATAAGCACTTATTTGAATTTAAACGGGCTTATTTGAGATCCCACCGCTTAACCAAACAGGCTCTTAAGTGTGAAATCACGAATCAGCGTAACGGATCATCCCCCCGAGACATGGATCTCCCCCGTAACAACCGTTCTGTGGCATGCCACGTGTCCGGTAACGGTGACGTGGCCACCATCCCCGCGACCTTGAATCGGATTTTAATTTTGCGGCAGAAAAGGGTAGATACTAGACGGATAGCATCCTTAATATTTAATTATGTAGGGCCAGTCGGTGATGTTTGGTCGGTGGAAGTTAACCAGCCCAGTCAGTATTTTTCATCACTCTTTACCATTTTCTTTTTTCTCTTTCTCATTTTTGGAATTAATACGTCTACTTTTTGGAATTAATAAATCTAGGGAGAATTACAATGAGGTCCCAAGTAATTAAAAAACAAATCTCAGAGGTTGTCATTCTCACTGTAGGACTTGTTATTACAGACTGCTCAGGTTGTTACTTGGGACTTTATAGTGATTATTTCTCTTATGTGGGACTTAAATGTAATTCTCCCATAAATCTAAGTTCATCAAATGAACAGAAAGGTCAATTGTCCAAATTTTCTGGTTGGAAAAATAAAAATCAGATGCATTGCTTTCTGTTTGCATTGATTTTGCAGTCGCTGGTGACTCTACAGTGTAAAGATTGGAACATCTTGGGAGCGCTGGTCTCTCGTCTAGAGACAAAAGGTCCGCGCGTATGGTCCTCTCAACCTTCATGCTTATTTGATCATCCATCAGATTAATCCGGGCAACGTAAATTTTTGAAGGCAGAATAAATATGAATCAATAAAAACACACGTAGTGAGAGAGATCTTCGGGTTTTCAGATGTGGGAGCTCCTCACACGTGTGCTGGGGATGGCAACCGTTCATTCGTTTTTTTTTTTTTTTTTTTTGGGGTTGACATGGGCACGAAGATGGCAAGTTGGCAACCATTCATCGAAGGCGGGACGTGAAATTAAAAGATACTGTCAATCAGAAATAATAATGGAATCATGCGAAAAAAAGAAAAAGAAAAGAAATAATAATGGAATGATACGCGTATCAATAATTAATTCCAGCGTTAAAGCGGGGTAGGATGCCAAAAGTGAACTAAACCGATAATGTGGTAATAAAATAAATTGATTCCTCAGAAAGGACAGCTGGCACCGTCGATTCCAGGACATATATCTTCTCTCTCTCGACCATAGGATCAAATTGCCGACAGACGCGGAGTGACATTTGTCACTCGGTTTGAGGCTGAAATACCCATATCACCTTCGGGAAAACAGTAAGTAGGACCTAAGCGACCGAAAAGTCTAACTCAAACTGGATTAGTTTACTCTCGGGATGCAATAAGATGGTACTCCTCCAGTCCTAATTATAAGACTCAATTGATTTATTTGAGGAGATTAAGAAAGTAAGTTAAGTTAGTTATTTATAATAAATAAGTGTTGTCATTCCTAAAATATCCTTGCTAATTAAGTATATTGGCTAAAACTATCATTATTAGAAAGCTTATCTTGGAAAAAATGCATAAATATAAGAGACAAAATGGATTGAGGTCTTATAATTAGGACCAAATAAAAAATCAAATGGGGTCTTATAATAAAGGCAGGAGGAGTACTATACTATTCTTTTTCTTTTCTTTTTTTCACGTAGATACTATATTATTCTGATGAAATCCCCTCAACTCTCAAAAGTTCAAAGATAATGTATATTATTCCGCCATCACTTTCGGTTTAATTTACTTTTTCTTTTTTAACAGTGAACAAGACCCTCCAAAGCTCTATATAAACTGCTCCCCCCACCTCTGTTTTCCTCCCACCGAAATCGACATTGCCTTTGTTTCAAGCTAACTCGCTCTCTTATCCTATACATTTTCTCTTCTTTCAGTGAAACCTTCCTTCCTTCTCACTCACTCTCTCCTCGGCAACACAAATGGCTCCCGATATCACCACCGCCATAGCCAACGCCACCGCCGCCCAGGCAAAGGCCAACAGAGGGGACCGTGCCTTCGTGACTTTCCTCGCCGGCAATGGTGACTACGTCAAGGGAGTGGTGGGACTGGCCAAAGGTCTGAGAAAGGCGAAGAGCAAGTACCCTCTGGTGGTTGCTATTCTGCCGGATGTTCCCCGGGAGCACCGTCAGATTCTAGTCTCTCAAGGCTGCATCGTCCGCGAGATCGAGCCAGTCCACCCTCCCGAGAACCAAACCCAATTCGCCATGGCTTATTATGTCATCAACTACTCCAAGCTCCGTATCTGGGAGGTTTGTTTCCGTGTCCCTTTCTGTTTTTGCCTATTGCATGTCTTGTACGTATTCTAGGACTCGCTAGTTGGGTTATGGCTTATTCCAACATATGTGGGCGTTTCTCATATGGATGGAAAATTCTGCAGTTCGTGGAGTACAGCAAGATGATTTATCTTGACGGAGATATCCAAGTGTTTGACAACATAGACCACCTTTTTGATCTGCCAAACGGCTACTTCTACGCCGTGATGGACTGTTTCTGCGAGAAAACTTGGAGCCACACCCCACAGTACAAGATCGGGTACTGCCAGCAGTGCCCTGATAAGGTTCAATGGCCAGCTGAGTTTGGACCCAAGCCTCCACTGTACTTCAACGCTGGGATGTTTGTTTACGAGCCCAGTCTGTCCACCTACCATGACCTCCTCAAAACCCTCCAAGTCACCGAGCCTACTTCCTTCGCTGAGCAGGTATCTACTTCGTCCAAACAATTCTATTTGAGATCTGTCCACTCGTGCTTTGTTCTGATTAAATTCGAATCTTTTGGTTGCAGGACTTCCTGAACATGTACTTCAAGGACAAATACAGGCCTATACCCAACGTCTACAACCTCGTGCTGGCCATGCTGTGGCGTCATCCTGAGAACGTTGAGCTTCAGAAAGTGAAAGTGGTTCACTATTGTGCTGCTGTGAGTATCTTGGATATATAGTCAATTTTAGTTGTGGATGGATGATGATGATCTGAACTTGTACTGAATATATACGTATTTACTTGTGGGTGGCAGGGGTCAAAGCCATGGAGATATACAGGGAAAGAGGAAAACATGGACAGGGATGACATCAAGATGCTGGTGAAGAAATGGAGGGATATATACGAGGATGAGACGCTGGACTATGTGAACCCTGTGAAAATGGGTCGTATTCAGGAGGCACTTTCCCAGGCTGGCAGGGTTCCATTCGTTCCCGCCCCATCCGCCGCTTAGTTTCCTTATTGTCCATCAAAGTCTGTAAAGAAGTACAGAGTCGTGCTTTGGCTTTTTTTTGGGGGGTTTGTTTGATTTGGATGATCTTCCAATCTACAATGGAAGTCGCACAAATTTTTTAATGCTTTAAATTCTTAGGACCTTGGGGATTACAGAGTCATTTTTCCCTTATTTTTCTTCTTTGTAATGATGAATATGCAGCCACAGTAGTGCAGTACTGTTGAGCTGTGGTGGTATCCGTATATTGATGAAAATGAATATAAACGAATATATTTATTTTTGTATAAAGTTCTCCATTTCTTTTCATTTTCTGCCGCGCTGTTAAGTCTCTGCGACCGGGGGTTCGAATGCAGCGGCTTCGTTGAACTAACAGGCCCCATATATTTTCTGAACAAGAAGGGTTTTGAATTAAAAATTGGAAGCGATCGTTTCGGTTACATAGGCGCTAGGATAGATCCAGCGTCCACAGAGTGAATGTTTATTTGCTTTGCGCTGACTGCCATCTTCATTGCTTTGCACTGACTATACTCAAATCTATTGCTTCCATGACCTTTTATAACTTGACCGAGCTCCGTTCCAAGTGTGCGAGCAATTCCGCTGGCAGACTTATGAGAGTCCTTGCTCTTCTGGATATACCAGCAGATTCATCTTAAAGTATCAGGAAGTTTCCTACTGCAATGCTAAATGATGAAGTATTTTATATATATATATATATATATATATATATATATATAGTTTACATATGGAAACTCCAAACTGAGAATGAAAAACGCCGGGTCAGGTCTGTTTGGTTAGAATGGAGGCACGCGTGAGCGATACTGTATTACATTACAATTTTTGTTACTCTGACAAACGCCAAAGAAGGTCGCAGGTTCGAGACCTGCAAGGGCCATTGCGCTATTTTATTTCAATCTTTGGGCTTCTTTCGGGCTACGCTGAATAGCAGGCTTTGTTTATTTTTGGGCTTTATTTCCCCAACGCCGTGTGTCGGTGAACCAAGGCCCATCCTTTTCTTGTCACTCCGCCCCAGATTCTGATTCCCCCACACCCCAAAAAAGAAAAAAATCCAGTACTACCCGCTCTACGCTGTTTCAAGGGGAAAGCGTTCTCTCTTTTCTTCGGTTATTTGGGTTCAGCAACGGTGAAGTTTAATTGTTCACAAGTTTGCATATAGGCCGCAGGAAAGGCTTTGTAAAATTAGTTTCAATGACAACTTTTCAGGTGAAAAAACATATTTTGAGAGGCAAGTAACTCCAATTTCTCTATGAGAGAGGAAGAAGCTGTGCCTCGGTTGTTTATTTAAAAGATTATTCTCTTGAAGTCATAAGAAAATTGTGATTGTGTCATTTTACAATATTTTTTTTGCGATTGTTATCATTTTATTCCCCGATTTTAATAAAACTTGCATATACAAGTTTTGACATTAAAATAAATTATTAAAATATTGTACAAATTTCTTAAGCTGCGAATTTTTTATGACTGCTAGCGGAACCCATTATTCTTCCTCCTTTTTGTTTTTGGCCCGGATTCTTCCTTTTTATATGAGCTTGACTAATTGTTATTCTTTCCATGATTGATTTCAAGCAATTTTTGAGCCTATAACTTGCGAGGTTATAGTTATACAATAATAACAGTGACCTTTAAGATTAAAATATCTGCGCGCCTCTAAAAATACCTTCCAATTTTAACAAGAAACTTAGAAAATAAATGAACCCATTAATGGTTCATTAATTTTCTAACGCAAAAGCTTTCTAGCATCACTGAGCTAGTCTAAACTTTCGTGGTTACCCAACAGTCACAGTGACACTTGACCCGAAGTCAAGTTTAAATATTTGCGCGCCTCTACAAAAATAATTTTAACAAGATACTTATCAGAAATAAATGAACAATTTTGTTTTGTATGCAGTAAAACACTACAATCAACATTGTATTGATAATCCAATGTCCAATGCTAAGACAACTGTGTTCGTGACATGTGCAACATCTGATTCATTAATTATTTAGAATCTACATGATCGATAAGCCATTGCTATCATATATGATTCTTCTCATTAAAAAGAATGTATGCAGTAGCAAAACAGGACTCCGAAAAAGCCTAGTAGTGACTCAAGCTCAAACCCACTTCGAAGCAAGATTGCGTTGCAGCGTTCCTCAAGTGATTGCTTTCAAGCCTGATACACGAAGCATCAAAACCAGATGATTACTTTTTTGGGGAAAAAAAAAGAGTGAAAGAAATCATCTACAGGAGATTTTAAATTCAAGCTCACCTTGTTGGCTATGTTGTTGGAAAGCCAATCCAGTCCCTCGTAGAGTCCTTCCCCAGAAGTGGCACATGTGCTTTGGATATACCAGTGGCGTTGACGAAGAGAATGAAGACCAAGTTTGTCTGTGATTTCTGCAGCATTCATGGCGTTTGGAAGATCTTGCTTGTTGGCAAATACAAGCAGCACCGCATCTCTCAACTCATCCTATACGGTAAACCACAAAAAGGCAGTACTAGTTAACACGGAATGAAAGTAATACTACTAACGACAGGTGTCACCATCATCACTTGAATTGTTGTTAGCGCACGTGTGAGCTAGCGAAATCCAACATTACAGACTTGAATCAAGGACCAAGCTTCCCTCATTATTAAGTTTCAGAATACAGACTACTCTGTTTTACCTCATTCAACATCCGGTGGAGCTCATCTCTAGCCTCAACAACACGATCACGATCGTTGCTATCAACCACAAAGATAAGCCCCTGGGTATTTTGGAAGTAGTGTCTCCATAGAGGACGAATCTGTGGTACAGGTACAGAAGGCAATTAATGGAACGAGCATGTACATTTAATAGAAGATTACAAGCAAGATTTCCAGTCAACCTTAGTAAAATGTTAAAAAAATGTTAGCCAGGTAACTAAGCAAACAAGATTACAATACCGCATACCTAGCATCTCAAAAAGTAAATATAAGTAGACAGGAAACTAGGTCAAACGTTAGCTAGGTAATAAATTTTTGAAAATGGAGTGGATTCAAAGTGCATAAGCAACAAACCAATTCTACAAAATAAACCTGCAACACAAAATTCATGTTTAGGAAGTCTTTGTCCTATATCTCACATGTAAACCATATTCAGATATTCTTCCCCTCAAATCAAATGGTAAAAAGGAAACAATTTAATTTAACAGTACATAAACCATGACAACTGTCCATACGAGTACTCCGTTTGATGTTACAGTGTAACCCACAACAGGGTTAGCCTTCCCCGTTACAATGAAGAAAAAAACTTGAAAGACGAGTTGCTCCGCTATTTACAGCTTAGTTTGTGTCATGTGCCAATGATGACACCTTTATTTAACAGTTAAGGTAAGACCATCCACAAGCACATATGCTAATAAAAAAGGATAATACTGGACATAGTCTACATCAGTGACATGGATCATAAATTAATAATCAAATATCACAGATCACGCATATGATTGCTTGTGCATTTAAACCGTGCCTAAACAAATGTTTCAAGGACTACCATATACTTTATCATGTAAGCCACAACAGGGATAGCCTTCCCTCATATAGTTAAAGGAAAAACTTGAAAGACAAGATGGCTCTAATTTATGTAGCTTATGCTTTCGTTGCGTGCTAATGATGAGTGATGACATATTTAATTAGCACAAGACCGTCCATAAGCACATATGCCAGCAAAACAAACGAAGATAACACAAGGTAAGTCTTGTAGACGATAAATTTGAAATTGAAAAAAACACACACGCGCCCGCGAATTATTTTTAAATCTTTCTTTCCTTGATGAAAGCACTTAATAAAGAAAAGGAAGACACAAGGAAAAAGCATCATTCGTTGCAAAAATAAGTGTAAGATTATTCCAAAATTGTAAGTGATCTCTCCAAACTACAACACAAAACAAAACTATACTAACTACACACCTTGTCTTGGCCTCCTACATCCCAGACCGTGAAGCTAATGTTTTTGTATTCCACAGTCTCCACATTAAATCCTGTTCGACATTGAAGTTGGGTCTTGAGATCAGATCAAGAATACCAATATGCACTCGAAGTTCTACAATTTCAGAAAATGAAATATTTTCGTACCAAAAAGTGCGAACATGGGAAATATAAATTTGAAAGTACCATACCGATTGTAGGAATGGTAGTCACGATCTCTCCCAGCTTCAGCTTGTACAAAATGGTGGTCTTACCAGCAGCATCAAGACCTACCATGAGAATTCGCATCTCTTTCTTTGCAAAGAGTCGACTAAACAGTTTGGTGAAAGACAGCCCCATCTCTTCGCTTAAGCTGGATCCAGAATTCAATACGAGACACAGATCAACAAATACGTAAAAGGGCACATTTCTTCATTGATCAATTTCTATCTTCAAGAAAAAGGACATCACAGAAACATTGTATCGTTTTAGAAGACAAGCAGATCTTCACCTAGTTGTAAATTTTCGCAGACCCATGCAATGAGAACAGTATTAGTGGTCGGATTCGGGCTAAGAAGCCAACAATGTCAAAATAATAACAGTAAAAACAGAATAAAAAATAATTATATAATACTCCGATCACAAGGTAAAAGGCCCGGTCGGAAAAATGAGATAGGTAGATCGAAAAAAGTAGACGTTTGCATGTGTCCGTGCAACAGATCTGCTAGAAATCCAAATAATAATTTTTCTTGTGGTCCTTGCAACAATAAAGGTTCCAGAAACAATAAGATCTCAAGAGAAAAAGCTCAGATTTACGAGAATACAAGCGACAGGAGTAGAGTGCAAGTGATTCAGATCTCAGATCCACAATAGAAACCCAATCATCCAACGAATGCCCTTCCGAGACATTAAGACCGATAGTAAATATTCAAAAAAAGCAGACTACAGAGGAAGGCGCACTTACATGAGAACAACGCGCGATGGGTTTAGAGAGAAGGACGGGTGAAGAACGAGCTGCCGAAGCCGAATTGAGAAGCCAGGCACTCCCGTCGGTTAATTTTATAGGCGGCCAAGTGATCCCGACTAACGGGAGTAACAGTCATGATGACGGCGTTATGGTCTTGTTTGTTTAAAATCATTATTTTAAATTCTACTAAAAAATTATTATTTTCAATTTTCAATTTTAATTAAAAATCAGGGAAGTTTTATTTAATGCGTCTCAGGGAAAAGGAAAATTCTCTTTCAAGGAGGGAGAGGGCTTGAATTTTAATGAGAGACGAAGGGGACTTCAATTTATTTCATTTGAAACTAAGCCAAACTATTGAATTCAAATCATCAATATATCAAAATAAAACATAAAATTAAAAAGGAGGGCTCATACTCTACATTAAATATGATATGATACGCCCATGGCTTATAAATTACAAAATCTTATGATAATATATATATATATATATATTAGCCATTCACTCGTCATGATTGTGTGAAAATTATTTAAGATGAATTTAAACTTCTTTGATTTTTTTGAGTTTAAGAATAAAGTAAATTATTTTACGTTTGCACAAAGTAAAAGAACTCATAATATTGCAATCTCTGCGGGTTCACAACGAAATTAAAGCACGTGAACTAAAAACTATGCAGACTAAAAATCATCGTATATTCATTTGATAGAGTAGTAATACTCATAATAGGTTAATTATCAAGAAATCTGCGTGTGGGTTTTCACCCTTGCGTATGAGGCATGATGTTAATGCACGTAAGAGTTTGAAGTGGACTTGCCATGATCTGTAATTTTCTTCAAGAAATTAATTTTACACAGGTGTCTGTGTCGATAACTAATGCGACGTTAGAGCTGATAAACCAATGAAAAGCTTCCCCCCCCCCCCCCCAATATTCATCTCGTAGCATAAAAATCATGATCTTGCGGCGTCTGCAACTTTGTAACTTAAGCTCTTCTGTAGCTGATATTAAATGGAGAAGTCAGATAAACATATTAAGGTTAGGTAGCATAATTTGTGATCTCACTTTCATCCATAGCTTATCAAGAGGATATACCAATTACAAAAATTTAAACAGCAGTATTATGGTTCTCATCCGAAGCCCTGCAGCCAAGGTGCATCGAGTCGTTTCCGTTCTGCGTCAACGCTTCATCTTCAGTCTTCTGAATTGCGTCTCCCGCGTTGGTCTTTCCCCACAATACAGAATACATCCCCAAAACTATCAACACGGATCCTATGGCGCTGCAACGAAAGAAATTAAATTCTGGATTCATATATTCGGGAGCAAGAATTACAGATGCAGAAGTGACTATGAGTAGAGAAGGATAGCCATAGAAGATAATAAGGCTTTTGCATAATTACTTACGTTCCAGCATGTAACTTGTCGCCAAGTAACGCCCAACTGACAAGAGCAGTGATGACGAGTTGCATCAGGCTGAACACAGACATGAAAAGAGCGCCTTTCCTCTCAATAGCCCACGACATTAGACTACAAGCTACCCCAGTGCAAACTATACACTGATCATCTTCATAATACCATTTATAATCACCATCGTTATTATAACAAGTGTCATTTAACTTGTTAGCGTATGAAGCTTTTTGTTCATAAAGAAATGGTTCTCTGCTGCTTTCAAATTCTCAAAACCGTGGTGCATTGGAGAGAAGTCATCCTCGTTTTGTAATGGTGAGAATGAATATTAGCCAGCAAGCATACCGCATAAAGTGCAGATGCGAGTCTCACAGAATTGGCGAGTGACCAAGCTGAGGGTTTGCGTACAAAACACAAAGCAATGGCCGCACATTCTATGCTTGCCAGGAAACACATGTACGTGATGCTGTTGCAAGGAGCTGGGTACTTCTTGCATAAGTTTGCCTAGATTTTTAACAAAACGATAAATACATGGTAATTCACGCTCCTATGTATATATGTGACGACGTATTAGAGTTACTTTATGATGAGATGAATCTGACTTGGATTACGAACCAAAGAGCCCAAATAAGAGCACTCCCAATGACTAAGAGAGGACCAAATAACGAATTTGTTTCGGACATGGAGCTTGCTCGTCCCGCTTTCTCTGCATATTCCCAGTGAGAACGGCCTAGATTGATGGCTTTGCCATGGTAAAATGATAAGAAAAGCGCTTCTCCAACACCCACAACAGTCCCTAACACCATAGCTTGCCCAGCTTTCGTCTTGATTCTCACACACTCTCGTCTCCCATGACAAATTCAAGAATTCTAGTGAATCAAAGTATGAGAGAGAGGCGCTTGAAGATGAAGTTGATCCGGAAAAAGGAAATGACGAAAAAGTAGGAAGAAGTGAATAAAGAGAAAACTCCGTTGGTACCCGGAGAGGACAGCGAGAATGAAGGTGAAAGCGGGGAGCATATTGGTGAGCGCAGATGCAATGGTAGCAGTGGAATATTTTAGCCCCACGAAGTACAGTATCGAGTAATATATACTGGTAAGTTTTATACGGGGGAACGGGAGGAGGTTAATAATTATTCCTCTGATACTAAATATAAAACCTCTTTATACGTACAAGAGTCTTATATTTAAAATGGAAGAAGTATATACACTAAGTAACCTGCATAACAATATATACTTCGAAACCGTCTGGTCAAAACTTGTAAGAACAACGTCTGGTCAAAACTTGTTTGCTCCCGAAATTCAGCGTATGAGGTCACTCAGTACTGCAGACTGGTTACGTATTGGGCCTGGCATCCAATGACATGGACACACATAAATTAGAAGACAACTGAATGTAGAGCAGTTCATGATTAGAGGCAGCCGTGGCCTTTTGGTTTGGGTTGGCATGAGCACATTTGGGCTGTACCAGTCAGTAGTCACTGTCACGCTGAGGGAGCCCATGTTTTACCAACTTCAGGGCAATGCTTCATTCCACGTGTCAATGCCATGGTACCAGAATCAGTAATCAATAATATTATCTCTGGTTTTTAATATAAGAACCTGTTTGATTTTTATTTTCATTCTAAATATAAGATTCTAATTTACTTTGTTCCTCATATTTATCTTTTTTTTTAAATAGTCCTTGTAATAATAGTAATTATAGCCAATAAACTTGATTAGCAAGAATATTTTAGAAAAGACAATACCTACTTATCACAAATAACTAATTTAACAAGTTTTTTTAATCTATTTAAATTAGTAAAGTAACTCTAGTATTAAAAACTGGAGGTAGTAATATATATACACCGAATTCTCAAGTTCGTAGTCATTCTGCTTCCTGACTTAGCGTGCGCCATCATATTCATAAATTCATACATGTTCACCTTCTGCCCTGAATTTGGTGGCTTCCTTGCCCGTTATCATTTTTCCCTTTTAAGTTATTTGTTACTTCACAGTATATCTTTATTTTGAAAATTTTATCAGTTCAAAAATAATACTCCTCCGATCTTTAATATAAGACCCATTTAACTAATTTGATTAGATTAAGGAAGTTAGGTAAATTAGTTAATTATAAGAAAAATGACACATTTTTCTTAAAACACCATAATCATCTTTTTTAATACTCCGTCTCCCTCTTCTACTTGATTATGGTTGATTGAGTATCCATAGGAGTAATTTAGGAAAAATTAATAAATATAAGAAATGAGTCTTATATTTAGGACCACAACCAACTCAAGAATTAGGTCATATATTAAGGACCGGAGGAGTATGATCATTAAGCATTGGTCATGTATATATTTTTTAAGAAAATTAGTTAAATTGAACGACGTAAAACTGGAATCACGAGAGAAATTATTTCCCTTTTAAGAACCACTTGTGCCAGGTAAAACACAAAGGCGCATAGCCACGCGGTGTAGCTTAGACATTCATGTGACGCTGTTTTGGCGCGCAACCAAAAGGACAAGCAATTCGACGAGAGCATATCACATTCCAACTCATTCAAATCGTACCTGGATTCTCACATGGTGAGTTTTTTCAGTAACTTTATAATTAAGAATTTAACTCTAATTACGATCTGCTGATAGTGGTAACTTCGATTACGAGTCGAAAATAACCTTGGGGCACAGTGTTAGTGAGAAGTTACGTATGGGACTTTTGAGAGTTGCAGCTGACAAGTACAAGTGAATTAATTAAGAAGCTAAAAAGGAACAAACCTTTCAAATTCAAAGAAAAGACAATACAACAGAAGATAATTCTGTCTTCAGTGGACGGCCCAGGTAACAGGGAGAGTGAGGCTGCGCACTTCATTATTTCAGGAGGCCTTAGTAGTCCGTCGTCTTTTCCATATTTATCAGAGGCCACACTTTCAGTGAAAACACGACCTTATTCTCTCGCTTTCTTCATCTGTCTAAACTAAAGAGAAGAGCGATTCCCAGGCCAGACATCCCGATAACACCAACCGCATCATTCGTTTCAAGTACTACTGTATACTACCTCCGATACTAATTATATATCTCGTTTGTAAGGAGTGGAAACAGACAAAACATATACAAGAGCAGTGCGATAACTGAACAGGCCCTGGATTTTCGTTGCTTCTTAGGTTGAAAAAGGACAGTAAATGGAGGAGGGCGGGGTTGATTAAAGAGGTTTGCCGATTCTGGATGACGACTGAGTAGTCAGGACTACATAATTTGCTGCATAATTATACACTACGTACAAGCTCTACGCCAATACATATCAGCTTCGGTTAACATACATATTATCAAGTTCATCAATCCGGTCCGGTCCAGTCTAAGCGCATATGTAAATAACCCGGACTGCAAATCTGAAGCTGAAGGGTCCCTGTACTGCTAATTAATTCACAAATTAATGACAATATGCTGATTGAGCAAATTAACATTGTCGATGAACCGCATGCATCTAATTAATATATATGGTGCAATTATAAGGAAAGGTTTAGGTCTAAATAGTCATTTTGTTTCTCATCATCTTCTTCAATTTGTGGTGGCGGTGCCGGTGCCGGTGCCGGTGCGGCAGCCTGAGGTAGTTGTTCATCTGCCGCCTGCACAGCGTCATCGTGCTTTGCAGAGGTAGAAGAAGAAGGAGCAGATGGATTCGAAGAACATGCGTTCTTCGGGAGCCTTGCTGGTAATCATCAATGAAATCCGTGCATCCTTCGTGCTTCGTATCAAAGCATAGAACTTCTCCAGCTTCTCCTCTTCGCTTTCTTCTTCATTATTCTCTAGCTTCCTTTTCCTCCCCTCTCCTTTCATCACGATATTTTCAGCTTCCTGCACAGCAGATTGAGAACGAAAAAAGACAGATAGAAAGAAGAGTTCAATTAAAAAAGAGATATAGAGAGAGAGAGAGGATGCAGTTGGAGAAGCCAATGTGATGGAAACTGAAGAACTGAAAGATATCAGGACTGAGTGAGTGGGGATATGGTGCTTTGCTTGCTCAATTGGTTAGCTGAATAAACAAAACAGTGTTAATTGACTCGCCGGACCGGTCAAGACCCCGGGGATTTTTTTTATTTTTTATTCACTAAAACCAGATAATGGGCTGACAATATTGCCCGTCGCTGACACCCAGACAGGGAGCTCACAGTAGGGGTGTCATTGTAATTGAACATAGTGCCCACCCCTACGATGATGTGAAACCATTATATTTGTGTTATTAAAAAAAAGGAAAGCATCATATTTGCGTCAGCTCATGGCGTCATGGCTCCACTCACTTAAATATGTGTCACGTCCTAAATGATGAGGGTCATACATAATTATTGATTTAAGAACAAAATATCAGTATAAAATGGATTTTTACATTACATTAATATCAGTATAAAATGGATTTTTACATTACATTATTTGTAATACAGTTTAGTTCTTAATTTGTAAAAAATATAACTAATTTAATTTGCATATACTTATAGTATAAAATATTAAAATTTGGTGAGGGATAATGTCATCACAGTAGTGGTGTAATTTTCAAATAACATTTCATTGAATACCCAACTAATCAATCTTTATTATTTGCCTCAGACGTAGCAGATAGTGGTTGGGAATGTCTTTATCTCATCAAGCATCCTTTCTACGATTGTCAATGCCCCATTTCCCGTTGGTATGGGTTAATCCATACCCCTTTTGTTTTTTATTCTTTAAATGATGTATTGTTTAAAGTCTGTTTACCGCTTATATTTCGTCCGGATTCTCTATCTTAATGACACTGGGCATTTCTTCAGATTTTTTGAATGTGAAATTACGAAATTGACTTTTTATAGATGTAACGAGTGTATGTTTTTTGATTAAATGAAGGGTGACAAAAATAATTCACTGCTTGTAGAAGAAAACGACAAATCTTGCTCTCATTATTGTGAATCGGGAACGTCTTTTTGGGTTTTTTTGTTTTGGCTTTTTAAAGTATTGATTGATGGGGGCCATTTTATAGCTAAGTGCGAGTGAACCAGGTCAATGCAGATAATTATTTTTAAAAATTGACTAGCCTAAAAAAGTTATTGCTTTAGTTATAAATATAAGAACTAATTAATTAATTTAAATAAATTATAAAAATTAGTTAAGTTAATTATTTGTAATAAATAGGTGTTGTCTTTTCTGAAATATCATTACTAATCAAGTGTTTTGATTAGTACTATTATTGTTAGGAAGACCATCTTAAAAAAAGTATAATAATATAAAACAGAATAATTTTTAAATCTTATATTTAAGATCAAAATAAAAATTAACAAATCTTGTATTAAAATATGAGGTGATATTTTTTATATGCACTGGGACGACTTGACTGGAACAAGTGACAATCAATCAAGTGAAAGAATTGGAAGCAGCGAGTGGGAGGTTGTGTCGAGCAGCGTATGGGAGACAATGATTTTATCTTTTGGTAGCGTGATATGTTTTTTTATTACAGCAATACATTTATCTCGTGTGATAATGTGAGATATGGTGGAAGCTTCTCAAGAATTATACTTTTTTTTTTTTACTACCTTCTATCTCAAATATAAACCTTGTTTATAATATAAATTGTATTACAAATTAAATCTTATATTAGGATTGGAGAGAGCAATAATTTTTTAAAACTCTACTTGATATATATATGTGTGTGTGTGAAGGATTGTTACAAGGATAAAATCAGTAACAAGGAGTGAAGAAAGTGTTGAGAGATGTTAAATATGTTGATATAATGATGCATTCCAACACATCAAAGATTAACCCCATACATGGAAAGAAAATTAGAAAGGAGAGAAAAATAAAAAAAAATTAAAGGAGAAATAGGTTTTTCTTTTTTGAATAAGAGAAAAATATGAAAGGAAGAAAAAGCATGAGAGAAAAAAGTTAAGTCCTGTGTTTCATTTTTTCTCTATACACGAGAGATTGAGGGGTAAATAAGATTTTCATGATTACTCTCATCTCATGTCTTCTTGAGTTCCTCCTCTCCTTATTTATTTTCTTTATTATATTTTAAAAATTATTCACTTTTTTTTATTTTTTTATCTTAAAACAATTTTTCATTAGATAGTTTGGTTTTAAAATATAATAATCTAAAAATATATAAAATCCAAATAATTTAACTTTAAATTATTTGATGATGCTAATGTTAGTATAATTTTCATATTGTAATATTTAATTTCACTTAGTTTAAAACATGATATTTTTGATAAGGATCTTTTAGTCATATTTTCTCTTGTCTATCAAAATATTTTTTTTCTTACTTTGTTCTCTTTCTTCTCCTATTTTTTTTTTTCCGCCTCACTTTTCTGCTTATCCAAACATAGCATAAAATTCTTAAACATAAAGGCATATAACTCATTGCAAAAATAAACTAGCACGATTCAGTTATAAGATGAACAAGGATTCGTCTAGGAGAAAAGCCTGCTGTTGCCTACCGTCCAATCAGATTATTCAGAAGTCTTTCACATGATTTTTTTTTCAAAATGTCAGATCAAATATTTGATAGCTCAATTGTTTCCAACTTTTCACATCAGTTTTCTGGGTTTCATAACCCACAGCCCAAGGAAACGCAGCACAAAGAGAACTTGGCAATCTCAACTCCGAAGTCACACAGCCTCGTTCGTCAATATTCTTTATTTGCTCCGGTTTTCGTTATACAACCTAAAACAGAGAAAGGACTAAGGGGGCTTGGGGGCAAGGATAAATAAAGAAGATAGGATAGTTTTTGAACGAACGAAACAAGTCATTCCTCTGGCCATGGCACACCGTGGTTTGCCCACAGGTAGTATGCTCCAACGGGACCACGACCACCCACCTCGTACAACTCCACTGACATATTTTCTTTGTCTATCTCATTCAGAATCTTACTCAGAATGTTCCACGCCGCTTCCACCTCATCGCTTCTCATAAACACGTGGTTATCCCCATCAATTACATCTAGCAGAAGATGCTCGTATCTGTCAGGCACCTCCATTGATTTATACCTGTCACAACATTTCACTCATGCATTAATAATAATAATAATCATAATCAGTGCAACATTTTACAGGTTCTTACTTGTCCTTGTAAAGTAAATTCAATTCGGAAGAGTCCAGCTTCAACCCCAATCCAGGAATCTTGTTGTTTACTTTAATCAGGATTGCTTCATCTGGCACATCACGAAGAATTAGTTCATTTGTCGCACGCTCAATGTTATGCCCGACGCACCCGTGGTAAATATTTCCTGGAACATGACGAAACCGGATTCGTATCTCCATTCTGCGTTGTAATTTCCAACCCAGGCGAGCAGATAAACCGAAATAAATAATATTTCTATTAAGTATAATATTAAAAAAAAAACATGATATTTACTGGTGTTTGATGAGTCCCAGGCCAGTTTTGACCAAAAACGGCACACCGTCCCATCGCGCATTGTCAATGTATAATGCAGCAGCGAAATATGTAGGCGTCAGACGGTTTAAGGATACATCGACATGGTTTTCCTTACTAGCTTTATACTGCCCAAGGATGACGTCTTTAGGTTCTAATTCGCGAATAGATCTCAAAACCTTGACCTGCGAAGTACCTCGTTACCAACACCATTACATGCTTCGGGGTTTTGAGCGTGAAAGTAATGTGCGAACCTTTTCGTTTCGAATATCTTCTCCGTCAAGGCTTACAGGTGGTTCCATGGCAAGCAACGCTATTGTTTGGAGAACATGACTGTGGATAATGTCACGAATAATCCCATAATTTCCAAAGTACCTGGCATGGGGGATGTAGCTGATGTCAAAAATTGCAATTTTCCTGTGGCGGGAAAGCTCATTATGCATATTCAGTACCCACAATAGCTAATTGAATTTACTCAAAACTTTACCTTCCAGGCTGCGTGGCCAAATCCTCTGATAAAATGACCTGCGATGAATTTAATCGAAGCAATATAATATCACTAGCGGAGTGTTGCACAAAGAACTGATCAGCTTAAACTTAAAAAAGAGTTACCTGTACATTATGTATATACGCACGGCTCCACAATGGCTCAAAGACTAGATTCGAAAACCTTAGAACTGTGAGATTTTCAATAAGATTCCTCCCTAAAAGATGATCAATCCTGACAACAGAATGATCTCACTCATAAATTATTTATCGATAATTCTGAGTGCGCAAGAGATGACGTTTAGAAAGAGAGGGAGAAGGTCGAGTGCCCGATATAAACACCTGTATAATTGCTTTTCCTGAAACTTGGAAAGAAGAGACTGTGTCAGCCTATGAGAAGAGAGTGCATCAAATCCAAATGGTTTTTCAATTATAACACGATTCCAGCCCTTTTGGGTCTGAGCACAGCTAGCAAGACATGATGCAACATCCAGAAGTGCTTCTTGTGGAACAGAGAGGTAAAAGATCCTGTTTGATTTATTCCCCCCCTGTGGTACACCATAAGCTGCTATAGAATCAGTTGCCAAAACGCATAGACCATATAAGGCATCAAGTAGGTAGACAAGCATGCATTCGAGAAGAAATTTGCTTTTTCAACACACGCCCCCCCCCCCCCCAACAACCAAAAAAAAAAAAAAACACACATACACTAGTGAGATTTATTCTAAATTACCTCAATCTGCGTCATATGATAGTTCAACTTGGACATCCCATGTTTATTGTCATAACCTCCATTGATGTAGTATGTTCTACTAAGGAAAGCATCCATTTTGTCCCCACAGTTCTCTCTGACAATTTTTTTTTTGGGTATTTAAATTGACGTAAAGATCATATAATATTGAATAAGGCCATAATGTAGAAATGCACGAATGGAAATGGATATCATTCTTCCATAATTGCGACAGAGGAAATGGTTGACCCGACAGTGCAAAATTTCACATGAAAAGTCAACGTTTTGGGACGGAAGAATAACCGCAAATCATGAGGAAGCAGTTAGTTTCTCAAGTTAATTGATTAAGATGAAATGTAAATGATATCTTCCTGTAATTGGAAACGGGGCACAGAAGGTAATGACTTGGGTAAGTGACAAGAGTAACATACTGATGATCAACTCGACATGTTAGTGTTGAAGCTATGATGGATTGTAGGTCTTCGTCAGTCATATTCTTTCTTGAGTATCCAAAAATAGCAACATTCTGCAGACATAGGAATGCAAATCCAACAAAATATTTGAAAATTTTAGAATAGGTAAAGATGCAAGTAAGTGTAACACCAGCAACCACTCCTCATGACAAACCCCAACTAACTTATCAGTCAGCATAAGGGAAAATGTTAGTTTAGAAACTACATGATACCAGAAGGTCAAGAATCCCATACCATGACAAATTATATTAATGAAATTGAGGTGGGAAAACAAATTACGATAAAGATAGTTCTGAAAGTAAATCTGCCCAGGGCAAAACATTCATATTTATCATGTATCAATGTGAGCTTTTAACAAGCATGTATAAGAAGTAAGAACAGTTAAGTTAAAAATAAAGAAAAGCTGCTGTACCTCAGGAAGGAAGCCACTATAGTACAGAGCAAATAATGCAGGAAAAATTTTCCCCCTTGCTAGCTCACCAGTAGCTCCTATAACAGCAATGCAAAGTGAGGGTGTCCTACTAACATCAGTGGCAGTACTGGGGGAACTTGTATGTAGCCGAGGCGGAGATTCAATGGAGGTGACCGTATCTGGAGAAACATTATGCTGAAGGTTTGTTGAAAGACTTCAATGTGCATGGATGCTGTAAAAGTAGCTTTAGGAATGATCTTCTTTTAAAAGGAAAAAAAAAAAAATCCATTTTTCTTATTTTATTTAATTATTTCCGCTTAGTCTGAAACTTCAATCTTGAATAAATTAAGTTTCCGAGCAAATTATGAGACGCAAAATGCCGTGGAGATAATAAGGGAACTCTCAAAATTGGTAAAGGCTAACCATCAGAAACATCGAGGTTTGAGGACGAAGCTGGAGTTGGTCTTTCTTCATTTGAAAATCCTGTTTCCAGGGTGCAGGTCAACTGACTTCTATTTTGACTTCTCGATCTCTTAGACTCCCTAGCTGGTGGACATTTTTCACTCTGTAGATGGAAATTCAACCTCTCAAGTATCCATGATTTTAAACCACGGAATCTTCGGCACATGTTCGTGTCTGCACCACTTAGCCTGACACGACCACGAAAGTAGCTTGCAGCAGCCTGCAACTAACGAGGACAACAATGAAACTCACTGCTAGCACCGATTTTTGCCAAGCCATCAACATTTAGAAACAATGGCATTAGGAAAAACTATCTTCAATTTTTTGAATCACTTCATTTTTTCACATTGAGCTTCAGATTTCCAAGCCCAACCAAATTACTACCAAGAGAGTTTGTTTCCCTATTCCACATCAGAAAACAAGCAATAAGTAGGCAATGAATCAACTCACCGGACAGCTACGAACGGTGATTCTGAGACCATCGGAGCAAATATGTCTCGGTCTTAAGATTGAAGATTCTGAGCAAGTTGCCATGGTAGAAGAAAAGGACATGGCCGACATATTTCGATGAGTTTGGAATCTCTCCGTTAAGACTTCGCACGTCAATTCTAAGACTTGAAATGGAAGAAGGTTGCAATCGGAGCTCTTGGCCCCAGAAGACGGAGAAACAGTGTTGACCGTTATTCGGAGAGGCAGATTATTGATCGTAGGATTGGGAAGTTTGGTGGGGATTTTGCAGCATGATTATGTACGATGGTAGCAAACCTTGCACTTTGCCCTAAGGTCTGTTGGAGGAACTACGATCCTCACAATAGTTGTACTGTGGCTGCCAAACTCCTTTTCTCTGGCCCCCGCCCTCTGCCAGTCTGTCGGCTTGGTCCTTCCACTAACCGCCATAACGACGTCGTTAGAGTTCCCGCTCTCAGCATCCACTCCAGAACATGGGAAGAAGCCAATGCCTGTGGAAACGTCCTCGTCATCTTACGCCTTCGACGTGAGATTGATACGCGTTGATAGCATACATCTTTATCAAATTATTTGATTTTAAAACATAAAAACATCAACATATTTTTTACCAATTAATTTAATTTAAAATTATTTTCATGACGTCAATCATAAAATTATTTTTGCCTTCATTTTAATTTTGGGAGGACAATTACATGGCACATGATTTACTTCTTCACTTCTCAATACAAAGAGTTGCGAAATTAATTTTGCTAGGTTAACAAAATTAAATAAGTTACTTAATCTTAACAAATGTAATCTTAGCTAACATTAAATTATATAGGTTAGATGAATTAGTTTGAGAAAAAAAATCAAGATATAAAATCAATTAAAATTTTATACTTTCTAACTAACTTTTATATTTAATAGTAGAGGAGATTGTTATATAAGAGTACTAGAGTTATTATGATATTGGCTTATTTATTATATGGTTTTTTATTTTATTTTCTCTCCTCTCATAATCAAACCGCCCCCCTCACCCCAAAACCAAACGAAGGGTTGAAGAAAACGGGTAGCCCACGACAGCCGGTGGCCCATATTCCTGGCTCCTGGGAGATGGAGTTTTGTATAGCTTGCCTGGCAAGACACAACGATCACATGACTCGGGCTTCTTTGGTATACCAGGTGTTGTTTGGTATGAGAGAAATTAATAAAAAGAGGAAGGGAAGAAAATTTTTAATAAAACATAATATAAAAAGATAATAAAAATTAATTAAAAATTTTTAACCCCATTTTTTTATTTTTTTTACATTGAGTTCATTAAAATTTCTCTTTTCTCCTCTTCTTTTATTTTTTATTTTTCATATCAAACAGACCCTTAGCGGACAACAAAAAAACCGTTTAAAATAACTTATATGTGATGTGCAGAATAAGAAGTAAAAATATGAAAAGAATTTTATGTTGATTTTTTTTTTCCAAAATTAAGATTTAAGACTTGTATCAAATATTTGAAAAAGGATGCTCTAGATCTAGCAAGGTCAATAAGGCAGCATTGAAGAGGGCTCTTTTGAGCACTATTATCAAACTCGCGAGTTGACTCTCTGAGTTTAATGTTTTTACGTTTTCAGCTAAATTTTTGAATTTGATTATGTTTAGTGACTTTATATATGATTTTTATAAAAAAAAAATTTTGTTGAATATGATAAATTATGAACATTGATAGATATAATTTCAATTATTTAAATTTAAAATATATTTAAATGAAATTATTCGCGTTTTTTATATATTAATTATTTGATTATATACTTTTAATATCAGTTTATTAATAAAAATAAACTCTTATGAGTTCACGATTCGAGTTTACGATCCGAATTTATATTATTATTACGAGTTTGTTTAAATTTGTGAATTTGACAACTTACTTTCAAGTCTTACGAGAAAATCCCAAGGAATGACTCATTTCTTTAATGCTGACTTTTCCGCAACACACGAGCCTCTGCTTGATTCGTTGTGAATTTCCCCGTCTTATCAGTTTATGAATTGGTTTCCTGCCTCCATAGCATGAGTTCTCGGTCATTTCATTCCTCACATCGTATCTTATGATCACCTGTTTGCTTCCAATGCGTCTTTCTTCCATCTTAATGTTTTAAGTGTTTCCGTGAGCTTCATCCCCCGTTATTATTCACAATTTTATATGCCAATATTAGTCGAACTCAACATTCTAGTAATAAATTGAACCACACGACGTTCGATTATAACAAAATTTATATCCTTACCCTCTTGTAATTTTAAAAAATAATAAATGTAGCCAACAGTAATTAATCTAATGACGAACTTTTATAAGCGTTCTCTAAATCTAAGACATGTCTTGATTTTAATAAACTCTCAAAACTCAACTCATCAAAAAAATTTTATAAAAAAATAATAAATGTGTAATATTTTAATTAGTCTATTTATGCGGCTCTGCTACTATTGCACTATATTTAAGAGTTTACGATTTCAATTAGGAAGCGTCTTTCAAATACGGCACATGGAAAATTGGAGTTCTATTAAAAGGATATCGTTTCTAAAGTGGCTACAATTATTGGCAAACCTAGATATTTAAAAAAGAAAAACAGAGAGACGAACAAGTTAGATCCATATATATATATATATATATATAATTTGTCGTGATTACTATATTTCCTTTTTCCACGTTCAGATCGGTACCCCATTGTTATTTTATCCGCTTGCGCCGCTGTTCATCCCCCATGGCCAACATAGCTGAAAGCTGGATGAATGTGTTCAAAACACCAAAGGTGATGTGGAGACAGATGGGGAAGGACACAACCACCAATCAATTGGTAATTAAATAGTAATGCTAATTCAGATTTTCACCATTCACCAACACCCCCACCCCACCAACCATCAAACCTCAATAATGAAATTTATTGGCACTAGAAAAAAGTAATTTTAAAGAATATTTTTTATAAATTGAGACAAAATTTTTTTGCATATTTACTTGTATATGATAAAATTATTTTTAAAATTATAATTAAACATTCATTAGCCTGAACTCTGCCATCTGCTTGAACCCCAATACTGAATGGTCAAGGTGATTTGATGCTACGCGATGCTCGAATCGTAGGACGGTCCCCTCTTTGTAATTTGATGTTACTTCGTGCTGGAGTATGGACCGAGCACTTTCTTTCATGCTCTGAAGTTATTCTATCACTCTGATAGTCTGATGGTCAAAAAAGAAGTTACTCTATCACTCTACCAAAAAAAAAAAAAAGAAATTAGCCATTATTGTGGCTCTGGATTCTTACAGGTGGAAGGCTGCTTTTGAGCTTTGACGCTCTGTTTGAAAAAGTAGACTTCCTTCGTATCGAAGACACAATCCCCACATTGGGAGGGTGAAGTCAACATTTTTATATTTTTATGCTTAATTTCGTGATGATGGCGTCCTCAGCTGAAATGTTATAAAGCAAGAAAAGGAGTCCTTACTCTGCTCATCGTTTTTTTTGTTTTGTTTTAATTATCGTATGAAGAGGGACCCCTGAAGCTTTGAAAGAGATAAGAATTGGATCAAGAAGCCAATTCAACGTGCTAATCCGCCGTCTATTATCAGGTTTAGGTCACTCACTATTAATAAATAAAAAAAAATTGATACAATTACAGTAAGTCCATTATGATGTCGGACTTTGTTGTGTGAAAGCGACCTCCTTTGGTATTTTTATTTTCTATTGTCTTCCTTTCTCTAAATCCGATCGGACTCTTAACTTGATCAGCTTTGAGTAGATAAGGCTGGGGGATGTGTCATCTCCTTTGTTGAAGATTACTGGTACCCCAAAAGGCTCTCAAGTTCATTTTTCTTTTTAAATTTTCATGAAACATGCTTAGTTATGATTATCGGCTTTTTTCCTTGTTCGATATTACTTTTCCGGATGTTTGATCATTCCTGAGCCTGATCGGTTTAACGTTGATGACTTTTTCATCTCAACTTTGGGTTTTATCTGTGGCTAACTGCATAATTCAGTATGCATTAATGGCGGGTGTTTTCTGTCTCTCTTTTGTCCTGAAAATTCTTGAATCCTCTCAAATGGGTCTGTATCTATGTTCTGAAATACGATCGTCCTTTTTGTGCTACTTCGCGAGACAGGATTCTCTGATATAAGCTGTCTACTTATTTAATTTGCGAGATTATGCCACGACCCACTCTTTTCCTTTGTGTTTCCGTAACTGACTGTTTTTCTTCCATAAATCGGCTGCAGTTTCCCTTCGAACCACCTTCTCTGATTTGATTTGATTTATGAGGGATAATTTCCACCCTTTCGATTCAATCAATGTTTATTAGCTGTCGTCATAAAATGATGAAGGGCATACAATTTGAAGGAGAATTTTTATACAATCCCAATTCCTTTTGTAGCATTTAAAAACAGATAATTGATGGGCGTGATTAAGAACTATGATGTGATTTCCATTCACCTGATCGACGACAAACAGTCCAATTCTGGGCCTTACTAACTGAAACATCATTTTTTTGCAGATAACTCTTTTGTGCTTAGAGCAATAAACATTAAATCCTCAAGGAAGCTGGCAAATGGGGTCCGAATGTCCTCCAGCACCAGTAACAGTCCATATAACTGGTTTTAAAAAATTCCATGGAGTTTCAGAGAATCCAACAGAGACCGTTGTGAATAATTTGACAGAGTACATGAAGAAGAAGGGTTTGCCCAAAGGTTTAAATATTGGGAGCTGCAACATTCTTGAAACTGCTGGTCAAGGAGCACTTGGTACCTTGTACCAGACGTTGCAATCTGCCATTAGTGCCAAAAACTCTGAACCTTCGAATTCCAGAAGAGTTATTTGGGTGAGTTACCCGTATAAATTTGTAGAAGTACAGTTATGTTGATTGATTCACTCTTCTTAAGTTTATGTAGTCAGATCCATATTTATACTTATCAAGTTTCCCAACGAATCTTGTTCTGGTACTCATGTTTTCTGGTGAAAAATTGTGAATAATTTTTTTTTTGGTCAAAGAAGAAAAAAAAAAATCGTGACTAAGACATCACCTCACATGGTAAAGAGATCAATCCAGCACAATAAAAGTGGAGGAACCTTTTACTGCTTTTGTATTGAGTGGGGTTGAACTCATCACAGAGAGTTCCATGTCACCGCTGCTCTATCAAAGTCCGCTCACCTAAAGCTTTTTGGCTGAAATAGTTTTTGTGTGACGCACTGAGAACTGATTTATGCAATGTACGAACCATTTCCAGAAAAGATAATCAGCTGATGACTTGCCTTTGATTAAAGCGCCGGTGACAGTCAAATAATCATGTCCTAGACTCCTAGATATGAAAATCCTTTAAGAGAGAATGGTAAGATACCCAGTTGGCGGGGATCTTGCCTTGAATCTGTTGTTATGTGAGTACATTTGTATCTCTAAAACCCAGCGTCTCATTTTCTGACTGTATATGATTTTGGTTATTCAGCTGCATTTAGGGGTTAACAGTGGTGCAACAAGGTTTGCTGTAGAGCACCAAGCTGTCAATGAGGCTACTTTCCGTTGCCCGGATGAAATGGGATGGAAGCCTCAGGTCAGTTTGGGACACGTGTTTTATTGGCTTTCATTAAAGCCTTTCAAACGGATATTGTTTGATTATGTTGTCATTCACTAAATTCTCTACATTTTGTCTTTTGCAGAAAGTCCCCATTGTTCCATCAGATGGTGGAATTTCACGAACACGACAGGTAAATCGGATTAATATGATTTTCCTTTCCCCCTGTGTTAATGAATTCATTCTCTAGTTCCATCATTGTCCTGGCTGAAGCTGCAAGTATTTAAATCTGCTTCCCTTTTTGGAAGCAATACATATGATTTTTCTGACATGGGAATTTGCCATATGATTTTGAGTTTATGCAGACTTGCCTTCCAGTAGAGGAGATCACCAAGGAATTGGCGAAGAAAGGTTACGATGTTATGACATCTGATGACGCAGGCAGGTTTGTGTGCAATTATGTTTACTACCATTCCCTGCGCTTCGCCGAACAGAACGGCATCAAATCCCTCTTTGTGCATGTCCCTCTCTTCTTGACAATAGATGAGGACACTCAAATGCAATTCATTTCTTCCTTGTTAGACGTACTTGTTTCTGTGTGCTAGCAACATTCTGAAAGTGGGACGAATGTATCTCCGCTGAAGACATTATTATATATTTAAATTTGAAAAGATTAAGGAAAATGGCAGATGTAGCAGAGGCATTTGCTTTCATGGTTAATGTTTCTCAAGGTTTCAACAATTTGTCTGGACGAGTCTCTGTCTGTTTTCGCATTGTGAATAAGTGTTCATTTTCCTAAAAGCTGTTGTTCCCATGTTGCATTTTTTGCGTTTCTTTATGAATGAAGCAGATCTGCTTACTGAATGTTGGAGTAGAACTAGAAGCCAATTCGGGCGGGGGATGTTGTAAAAATTGGAACAGAGGGAGATAATGAGAAGCAAATGGCTGAAAAGCTAACCTTTTGGTTTCCAATCATATAATGCTACCCACGGGGAACTTCGTAGAAGTTTAAAGAGACGGAGATAATAGGAAGCTAATTTATCCCAAGGTTGAAAGAAAAACCTTTTGGTTTCCGGTTACATAATGCGACCCCTGCATGGAGTCACTGTATCTCTCCATTTACCATTTTAATGATACAAATTAATTTATAGTTTTATAAATTATCATCAAATTTGAACTGCAAATTTAATCTGATAGTTCTCTACCACAATGAAAAATCTAGTTAGTGGGGGTTGCAGTTTCTTAAATGGTGCTGGCAGGCTGGAAAGCGACATGATGAATCATAAAAGTCAATACACAACAGGATCAGTAGAATGAGTGAAATTATAAGCAATAACGCTCATTTAGTGTGAGACGACATTATGCGGACCATCTCAACAAGGAAGAAGAGATCAGCTGTGGAACAAATAATTCCAGAGGGGGAAAAGATTGAATTGAACGAATCGCGACATGGACAAGTAATAAAGGCAAGAGGATAACAGGCGCACGCAGACACACCCAATTCCAGATAAAACACTAGACGACAGCGGCTAACCACCATACGGAGCATTGCTAAATTAGCCATCTATCCATCATTGTCGCCAGTAATACAAGTATCGCACATAGCATTTTGACAACTGCGGATATTGTCTTCTATCGGATGTTACAATGTGTTGGTGATACAGGAGTGTGTTCGCAATACCCATCGAGGGTTGGGTAAGATTACCATATATCTCTAAATCAGGCTTTTACAGGGCAAGGTTGTACAAGAAAGTACACAAGTGGAACGACAATCACCAGTAACGGAAACACGTAGATTTCATATGGAAATATCTTGCAGGTTTGTTACATTTCACAACCCAAGAAACGGGCATTGCTTCCTCGCATGCTCTGGAATCAGTTTTACGAGTATCTCTGTTGGAACTCCCTTCAGTTCTGATACAAAGGAACAAGGAAATCCCAGAAGGTCAGTTATAATTATTGACCGCAACGAAGAGTTGCATAAACACAATTGCACGATTGCAGTATCATACCATGAGATTTGAAGTTGAATAGCGGCGGAAGGAAACGACCATTTGGCAACCGAGTGTTTGGATCACGAAGTTCATCAAAGAAAGGATGGGTCAAGGCATCTAACTGTGTCCAGGAACAAACAAAGCATAAATCGCATGCATATAACCTTCTAGGCTAAACTAAAAAAATAATTATAAAACAAAGGCTGCCCTCATATCCTAGCAGAAATGTTACAGAAAGCCGGACAACACGCTTATGGGGGAAAATTGGGTCAACTAAAAAGCCATATACTCACAGCTGTGCACCGTAGATTAGGGGAGTATTGTAGTAGTCTAGAAACCAAATCAACAGCTTCTGGAGGCATACGCTTATGGAAAATCTGGAAAAAGCAAGTTAATAAATATTTTAGTAAGGCATTCAATAATAGGCAATCAGCAAATAATTGCATGTTTAAAAATGACCATGAAAGTGCCCGTAGATAATCTAGCAATACACACACCTTGTGCCATGGATGAGCTTTTATCTGAGGGAATTTAAATTCTGTATAGTTAGGATTCATGCATTTAATCTCTTCCCTTGTTGGAGTGCCCAAAACCTATCAAAACAATCAACAGGCAAGAAAAATGTTAAAAAGAAAAGATCCTGCCACCGTGTAAAAAAGCAAGGATAACGCATCAAACTAACTAGTAATCAAGCAAAGCCTTATATATATATATATATATATATATATATATAATTGTCCTTGGCTGTCTACCGAAAGAACTATTGAAAAACATCAATGCATCTCAATCTTCTAGAGCTTGAGTGTCGTCAAATCATCCACTTCCGTCTTAGAAAGTTAGAGCAAAAGGAAAATTCAACATTCACTGCTTAATTGCGCAAAAGTGAGTCCAAGTCAGAATACCACCGTCAGTGATGGATTACCTTGATGATCTCAACAAGCTGATCGACGCCGCTCTCACCAGGAAATAAAGGCTGAAACAAAATATAAAACAGTTGCAATCCTCTGTTACATATAGGTACTCATATATACATCACGTATCACAAGAGCTCACATCAGCAGATACCAACCTGTCCAAGAAGCAACTCAGCCAAAACACAACCAGCAGACCAGATGTCAATAGCCGAAGTATACTCGGTTGCTCCAAATATAAGCTCAGGAGCTCTATAATATCTAGAACATATGTATGAAATATTTGGTTCCCCTTTTACCTGTGAAATGTCAATCCAAATAATGTCAAACATTGACGTCACCAACTATCCAACCAATGAAAACTGAAAGCCCAAGAGGAAGGAAGTAAACAACACAACTACACAAATGTACATGGAACATACCAACACTTTTGCACTCCCAAAGTCACATAATTTAACCTGGTGGGTGTGAGGATTGACCTGCACAGAAGAGAAACCTTTCATCAGTATAATCAAACAAGCACCATTGAGCCTTAATAGCTTAAACCAACAAATAACTATCTTCTTCACATTGGAACAAATTACCATCTTTCGGCCTCTTGAAACATAAATGTAGTGTAAAACTTGTCTAGAGAATATATGCAACATAAATCAAAGAACATACCAACAGATTTTGGGGTTTGATGTCCCGATGACAGACTCCAATACAGCGATGAATGTAAGATAATGCCCTAAAGATCTGCAATACATCAATTTATTACAACTCCAGCGAGATGAAAGATCAATATACATAGGACAGACATCCCACATTTGATAAAGCGACAATATTTTTATAATATACCTGGTACGTGTAGAGCTTAACATATATCAACGGCATCCTCTGATTCAACTTGTTGTAATGTTTGATCACACGATGAACAGTTTCAGGAACATACTCAAGTACCAAATTAAGGTATAATTCATCCTTTTCAGTTGTTGAAAAGAAACAATGCTTCAAAGAGACAACATTCGGGTGGTCAAGGAGACGCATTGTTTGCAGCTCCCTGTTCTTGTACCTTTTGTCTTGGAGAACCTTTTTTATCGCTACAGTTTCGCCAGTCTCCAAGCACTTTGCCTGAAGTTATAACCGAAAAAAGCACACAACATTATGAACTTTGAAAAAGACCAAATCAGCACAAGGACGAAAATATCCAGTCTTTTGACATGAAGCAGTACCTGAAAGACAACTCCAAATGACCCATGCCCAACAACACGCTCCGCCATATAGCTTATCGTCTAAAACAGACAGATGTAACATTAGCGGTGGGAAAAAAAAAAAGGACCCCAAAAAGAAAATCAGAAAGAACGTTCATTGGGAGATGCATCCTCTATAACTTTTATCATTTTATTCAATCATATATCGTAGTACTTCATCAGTTAGAAACCATTAAATAACATATTTCTCATTATAAGACCCAGGCAAGTTGATACGGCAAATAGTTATGCCACGCTATTCACTGGATAGAGGCACAGAGTTACAAGGCGGGTGTAGAGAGCTGGCACAATATCTAAATATTTTCTTAGAAAATGACTTCGGACCTTTATCGTAATTTTCTTCAAAATCACAAAATACATAATCAATGCAGCTACAGGAGAAGGGAGACATCCATGCACCAAACTGGAGCATCAATCGTTCACCAGTCGAGACAGGGCCAGAAGTCATATTATCTCCAAATGATATACAGCATATTGTAGGGCTTTAAAAACAATGGCATACCTGCTTTGGCTGACCATTTCTACCCCCGATGGTTGTGACAATAATGTGACCGGCCTCCGTTCCATTACCATCAACAACAGCGGCTTCCATTTCCTGCGAGAAAAATAAGCTATGAGAAGCTGGGTCTGGAACTCGTAATCAAAAAGACCAAAAGATAATTAAATCGAGAAACTAACAGCAAGACGTACAGAAAGGGGGGAAATAAAAAGAAAAATGTGCAAACAGACTCTGGCTGACATACTTTATCATCCCTAATTTTCATATCGTTCATCTCCTCAGGCAGTCTGTCAACACCTGCGGTATGACCAGCGGATTCTCTTACCCCTGACGTTGGCACGACACCAAGCGACGCCATGAGCCAATAAATTTCACTGATTTCCCGGCTCTCTGAACTTGTGCAAACTACTCATTTACCTGCAAAAGCACAGTTGGAATGGGATCAGATCAGCGGGTAGCCTGGAGCCCTTAACATGGAAACTGAAGCCCAAATAGGAAATTTGAGTTGAACATATTCAGCAAAAATAATTGCGATTTTTCTCCATCAAAGATGAAAGATCAATCCTTCCACTGTATAAAAAAACAGAGAAAGAAAGAAAGATCCATCCTTCCAAACAGACGAATCAGCCGGAAAATCATCGTCGCAATCAGCAGTCTCGGAGAATTCAAAATAAACACCTAATTAAAACCACCAGTAGATCTCCTTAAACCGAGAAGGTCAAACGCCAAAGAAACTGATCCAAGTACCCAAAAGCAATGGACGAAAACTGGCGCTTGAACTAAGCCTCAGTTACTCTTGAATCAGATTGTGGGAGGAAGGAAGAAAATTCAGAAAAAATAACGGCAATATATCTGAAAATAAGGGAGGGAGATAACAAACAAAAGGGGAAAAAAACAGTACCGTCCGAAACATAGAACAGTGGAAATCAACCAGGCTAGTTGGAAGAAAGGCTGAGAAGGCGAAGATCAGAAGTTCAGATCCACGGCTTCCTCCTGGGGATTAGTAGGAGCAACAGTTTTCCACTTTTCTGCGTGGGGAGGTGTGCTATAATGCGCTGGTGACAGTCAAAGAAGAACACTATTTTATGCATTTTTTAAAATAAAGAAATTGCATTTACAGCTGATAAACGTTAAATTGAAAAGAAAAATACTGTAAGAGGCCTGACTCTCTTTTTTGACCATTCAAACTTGCTTTAAATTTTCTCCTCTCTGGTATTTAAAAAAGGTCGGAAAAAGAAGTGCTTTTGGCGCCTTCCTGTGTGGGCACTCCTGCCCACTCCTTTCTACCCCAAACCCAGGGGCATTTTCCTTTTGTTGTCCAAATCTTGCCTCACTCGAAATACGAATTTATAATACAACAAATAGTTTAATTTATCTTATGTACTAAATAAAAAATGGAAGCACGACGCATGCGATCTGTTAGAGTAAGTAACAAAGGTTATATGCGAAACGAAACATATGAACCGTGGGGCACGGGCGTTGAAGAGGGGTATAATGGTCTTTGCGAGAGGGGGCGCCCGAGTCGTGGAAGAAACTGAAAAGTAAAGCCATCGTCATTGCCCAGTATTGGTACATGACGAATATGCGATTATAAAATTTTGAGCCGCAGAGCCAATCATCGAACCGAAAACCAGGCAGCATTCCAACACATTTACGAAACTAGCCCTTTTAAATATTGAGCCTAACAATAACAATATTCCTTGTGAGCTGTGACTTCGGAGACTGCGTCATTTTTATTTTTTATTTTATAAAAAAATAAATAAATAACTCGCCAGCCAAAGCCCGCATTGCACGCGGACCCCCTTAACGAAGCCAGTCCCTTTTGGACAGGTTATTAGAAATATTCACACATGAACGTCATAATTATGTATATTTTTTTTATAAGATTAATACAAATTTACTCTTATATTTTAGTTTTGATCTCTTAAATTTTAAATCATAAGTTTTAGTCCCTTAAATTTTTTTCATTTAAAATGTTAGTTCATATAATCCAATAAAAACTTAGACTGTTTTACTACTTGAGAGACTTAAACTTATAGTTCGAAATTTGAGGGGTTAAAATCAAAATGAGGGTAAACTTGAGAGAACAGATATTATATTAACATTTTTGTAAAACTAGTGAGAAAATATGTGCCTCATTTGACGTGCGGGTTTGATAACAAGATGAAGCTTCAATAATCACATGATTATAGTAGCACTATTTAAATTCAATTAAGTTACGAGGTACCAAATGGCTAGGAGGATGGGAGGCATGATTGAGAGGAGAGAAATGGTGTTAATTAGGTAGGGTGACGAGATCGGATTAACAATGAAGAAATTATAATGGAGGGAGTGAGTGAGTGAGTGAAGGGGGTACACCGACTCTGTGTGGACTTTGAATGATATGATCACTTTGCGGACCTAGTTACAGGATATGTTAAATATCTAGTGTGATGATTCACGCAGTGTCGTTGTGGTTGCCAGCAAGAGCTGGGCACCTCAACGCTTCGCCAGGGAATCCAACCACTCCACATCTAACTTCTCTGTTCGATACCTAACTCCCTTCACTTCCCTTTGCTTTTGCACCCGCTCGAAATGACCTGTAAGCAGTTGAAGTAATTCCAGATGGGGGCTTAGTTAGTGGAGAATTTGATTGGCGAGCCCTTGGTCTTCTCCTCTGGTTAAGGCTCACGCATTAATTTCTGACGTGTCTTACGTACGGAGCCATCTAAGGAACCGGTCAGGAAGGGCGCCACCTCTCCCAGCCGGCTGGCCTTCGCTGTGAAGGAACAGTTGTCATATTCGAGCACCCTGAGAGGACGAGCTCTAATCAAAACCGCATTGCCTGAATCTGCTTTAAGAAAGGAGAAAATTGCATTACCTTCCCACATTCGATTATTTTCATCTAATCCTCACACTTGTTGCCCTCTTTTACAAACTTATAAAATTGCTTAAAATTTGCTGATGTTCTTAAAATTAACTCCCTTCCTCCCTGGTTTTTTTAAATGTTCAGGAAAAACTGTCAAAAATAAATAAATAAATGAGTTGGCCCGATTTTACTTATTATTGTTATTATCCCCGTCATAATTATGCGAATTGATGCGATTTATTATTAAAATGTTAATACGCGTAGGTGTCGAGTTGCTGCTTTCATTTTTCACTGGAAGTAAATGTTTTGTATATTTTCCGTAGCTGCATTAGTTTTCCCTCTCTATCCGGTAGTATGCATTTCAACAATTACTGTAGGGAAAAATCACAATAAAGTGCCATCTAAAATAATTAAATATTAAGATGTATCTTAAAATTATTAGATTAATTTGAAGTTTTAAGAAATCTCATTACAAGAGATTCTATTTATTTAATTATCATATTGCTCTTATTTTTCTTTTAAGAGTATACATTGACAACTGAAAATATAGTCGTTAACAATTTAAGGCGTAACGATTAATAACTATCGCAGCAGCTACTGACAATTCATGCATTATATTTTTATGATGTACTGAGAAAATATGTTATTGATACTTGCCGCGATAATTATTAATCATTATATTTTAAGTTGTTAACAACTACTTTTTCAATTGTCAATACATACTTAAAAAACAATTTAATAATTAAGCAAATAAAATCTCTTACAATAAGATTTTTTTAGAACTTTAGAATAATTTAATGATTTTTTTAAAAAAATTTATATTTAATCCCCTTAACTGGGATTTATTGCAACTTTCCCTTATTGTGTAGTGTTAAGTATTGTAAAGCTGAGGTGGACGGTGATTTTGATTGATTCGGAACCTTTCCTCTTCCCATCCTCTTCTCTCCTTTTTTTTTTTTTTTGGATAATTAATATATAAGTCTTTATAGTTTCAACTAGTTTTTAATTAGGTCCTTATAATTTTTTTCTTTTTATCAGGTCCTTATACTTTCATGTATTTTTAATCAAGTCCTTATAATTTTTTTTTCTTTTTATCAGGTCCTTATTGTTTTACTTCGTTTTTAATTAGATCCTTGTAGTTTTTATTCTTTACTTTACAAATAATAAAATTTTAAAAAATAATAAATTATTGTAACAATCTTATGTTAATGTTCTTTTAAATTTTTAGTTAAACAAATATATTATTTATTTTCAATTCGAATTTTTATAATTATAAAATTCAAATTATAATAATAAATTTTTCTAAAATTAAAATATGATTATAAATAATTTATATTTAAGTATAATTATTATTCTGATTATTTATTAATTACTAAATGATTATATTAATTATTTTGTCCAATTATATAATTATTAATTTAAAAATGAAATTAATTTTAAAGAATAAATTTAATAAATAATTTTTTAAAAACTACAAAGCACCTAATTAAAAAATAAGTGAAACTATAAGGACCTGATAAAAAGAAAAAAAAATAGAAGGACCTGATTAAAAACACATGAAAGTAAAAGGATATGATAAAAAGAAAAAATTTTATAAGGACCTAATTAAAAATCAGATGAAACTATAAGGACCTGGAGATTAATTATCCCTTTTTTTTAAACCATGAGATTAATATATTTTAACAATTTTAATTTTAATTTTTTAAAAATCATTTATAAAAAAGTTTAAAAACATTTACTACACTTACAAATCATTAGAATTAAATTTTAATATATTTTATAATTTATAATTTATTTATTTTTATAATTTAATATGTTAATACTAATTTAAAAAAATTTTAAATCGGAAGCATTAAAATATTAATCTAAGAAACTGGATTTTGATGGGGAGGGGAAGTAGGCTAATCGGAAGCAAGGGGAATGAATTTGGATTGAGATTGAATATTGGCAAGACACGTAAGACAGGCACCAACCTCCGCGGCTGCAGCCAGGAACCACCGCCGTCGAATGCTCTTTATCGGTTCCAACGTCACCTAATAGAACAAAGGCCGTCACCTCCGTCCCCGTCGCCATCCCTCCCAACCTCTCCCGTTCTGTCATTCGTCCCCTCCTCATTTTATCCTTTCGAATCGTTGCTCAACCTCATCGGCTGTCGTGCAATGGCCAGGAAGAAGATCAGAGAGTACGACTCTAAGAGGCTCCTCAAAGAGCACCTCAAGAGAGTCGCAGCCATTGATCTTAATATCCGCTGCGCTCAGGTCTGCATAATCACCAACTTTTCCCGCTTTTTAACATCGCAGTCTGAACTCCTCAGACTTCTCTGTTCCTGACTGCTTTAATTAACACGTCATCACCTATTTGCATGTAAAAGAAAACTGTTAGCCTTTGATTTATTTGGCGAGAGTTATATGGTCACTCGAAAGTTCTCTGTCTTGAGTTCATCCCTTATCTGCTCTGTACTAAACCACGTTGTAATCCAGGTGACGCAATCGACAGACTTTGCTGAGCTGACTAATCAACAACCATGGCTTTCATCCACAAAATTGGTTGTGAAGCCCGATATGTTGTTCGGCAAGCGGGGGAAGAGTGGCTTCGTGGCTCTGAATCTAGATGTTGCCCAAGTGGTAGAATTTGTTAAAGCTCGCCTTGGTGTTGAGGTTATTGCTGAAACGAATATCGCGGGAAGTCTTGATTGTTGGTTCTTTTATTTCGTCTGCCTGAATTTTGTATTGGACAATCGTTAGGTTGAAATCGGTGGCTGCAAGGCACCTATAACCACATTTATCGTCGAACCATTTGTTCCTCACGACCAAGAGTATTACCTATCAATTGTCTCTGAAAGGCTGGGCTGCACCATCAGCTTCTCAGAATTCGGAGGCATCGAGATTGAAGCGAATTGGGATAAGGTGTGTGTGTGTGAAGTTGTTTCATTGGCGGTGCCAGTATTTTCACTCATATTTGTGCTACCATTCTACAAATGCATCTTCATTAGGCTGACATATTTATTACTGCTATCTCATGCAGGTTAAGACTATATTCCTTCCGGCAGAGAAACCTTTGACACTCGAGGCATGTGCTCCTCTGATAGCTACGCTTCCTCTGGAGGTGAGTGTCGATGTTCTTTTCTGATATTTGTACCAATTTCCCTCTTACAAACAAAGAAACCGGTGAAAGGTTCACAATTCACTGCCTGATAACAGGGATGATTGTAATGCCTGTTGGTGCTAGACACTACTATCTTTTATCAGAGATTTCAGTCTGCTGCACCTATAGTCTAAATCTTGTTGGTGTTGTCATTTTTTATCCTACATTGCTTGACTTGTCATCTCGAAATTGCTTATTCTGCCGGTGATTTCTCAGGTCCGGGGAAAAATTGGTGATTTCATAATGGGTGTATTTTCTGTCTTTCAAGGTATGAATTTAATTCTGTGGAAACTATTGTGTTCTGTCACTGGGCATAACATGACCCCCGGAAAAAGAGCAGGGTCTAAGACCTTTTTATATTTAACATTTAGTCAGTTATCTTGACAAATCATGCAGGGCTAGTTAAGAGACTTGTGAATATCGTTCTTTTCCTAGTTATAATCTGTAGGAATAAACATGACTAATCACTTTCATGAAAGACGTGATTCCTTTACATGTTGTTTTGCTCATTAATAAATACTTCTATGACACATGTTTTTATGCAAATGATCTTCAGGTTTAATCTTCTCCCCATTTCCTTTGTAGATCTGGATTTCAGTTTCCTAGAGATGAATCCCTTTACACTGCTGGATGAGAAGCCATATCCATTGGATATGAGAGGTGAATTGGATGATACTGCTGCGTTCAAGAACTTCAAGAAGTATACTTTTTTGATATAGACGCTAAGAATGTTCAACCTGAAGATTGTGCTGTATATGCATATACCTGACTTTTATCCTGTTACTACAATGTCATGCATTCAGGTGGGGTAATTTAGAGTTCCCATTGCCTTTTGGAAGAGTTCTGAGCCCTGCAGAAAGTTTCATTCATTCCCTGGACGAAAAGGTTGTTTTCACTTTTATCTACTTAGTTAACGTTATATCAGTATATGCAATCTCTTTCTTGCACGAGATAGCCTTGCAACTAGGCTTTTTTCATTTGACGATTTCCTTACAATATATATGGTTATTCGATTGACCTTTCATGATCTTACTAATGTAAAAAGTATGAGAGCGTAACATCGTTGTCCACTAACCTCTAATTCTAATGCAGCTTTTTTTTTTTTTTTTTGGGCCTGAGCCACTGGTGCAATTGATTAAGAAGTTATATCTTTTCTATTTATTAGTGTATTTTATATGTCATTAGCTGTATTAGGACATCGTCTCCAGAAGTATGTATCATACTGTGTGCTTTTGAACAGTCAGAGTTGGGGCAAATCTTAAGAACTTAAAACATGTCATTAGAATTTGAAGGTTTTTTTTTCCTATCATAATTCTGATTAATCTGGGATGCAGTTCTCCAGGCTTCCTCCGCCTTCAATATTGGTATAATATACTTTCATTTCCATACTGCAGACAAGTGCTTCCTTGAAATTTACTGTATTGAACCCAAAAGGACGTATTTGGACAATGGTAGCTGGAGGAGGTGCAAGTGTTATTTATGCCGATACTGTAAGTTGCCAAGTTGATGGACTTATCCTAATATATCCTAAAGCCAAGGAACCAGACAATGGTTATTGGAAGGTCAGTAGTTATTGTGGTGACTTAATTTACCTTCTGTTTGCTAGGTTGGAGATTTAGGTTATGCATCAGAGCTTGGCAACTATGCTGAGTATAGTGGAGCTCCAAATGAGGAGGAGGTGCTGCAGTATGCAAGAGTCGTGATTGATGTAAAGCAATTTGATTCGTTTCCTTTTAACTTAAGTTTCAGTATTTTGTCCTAGTTAGTGACTTCATCAAATTATATTTTGTGTGAATAATTTGTGTGAATATTGTGCTTTTTACTGCAGTGTGCTACTGCAGATCCTGATGGTCGTAAGAGAGCCCTTCTTATTGGAGGTGGCATTGCAAACTTCACAGATGTTGCTGCCACATTCAGTGGGATCATTCGAGCCCTGAAAGAGAAGGCATGTTTTAATTAGATGTATCCTTATCTCACTTCTTGAAGTTAGGTTGTTTACCATTAATTGATTTCCCCCATCCTCCTTCAGGAGTCAAAGCTTAAAGCAGCAAGAATGAACATTTATGTTAGAAGAGGTGGTCCAAACTATCAGATTGGTTTGGCAAAGATGCGCGCCCTGGGTGAGGAACTGGGGGTGCCAATTCAGGTAACGACCATCTTTGTTGGTAACATTTGCGTTTAAGTGTGCTGTCTTTATCCTCATCTGCTTACCATTCATGGGCGGAATTCGCTGCGTAGTAATTTCTAGTTATGTCTGAAACTAACATTTGCCTCATCTTCTGTGGACTGCTGATTTGTGCTCAAAAAGGGATCCTAAATGTTATCTTGGAACCTTGGAACTATTACCCAGTGCTTTGGTATTAAAGCCTCTATGATGATAAAACGGAAACTCTAAAGTTGTCGAGATTTCTCCTCCAAATGACGTCTTTTATCTATTTTTTTATTGAGGGTCCAAAACCATTAATTACGACTGTAATGAGATTGTGATGATGTGGTGGTTTCAGGTTTACGGGCCGGAGGCCACGATGACCATCATCTGCAAACAGGCCATTGATTGCATCATGTCTGAAGCATAAAGCCGCAATCATTTGCCCCATTATGTGTTTTATTTTCATCCCAACTTGGGGTAGTTTTCATAAACTCGGTGAAGCTGTTGGCATTTAAAAAAAAATAAAAAATCATAAACTCGGTGAAGCGAAATAGGGGTAGATGCTCAAATTGTTCTTATATTTACCCCCTCGTGTGATTTAACTGTTGTGTTTTTATGTGCCTTCATGGCCATGGGAACATGAATTGTCATCGCATCTTTTTCCGAGAGAAATTTGTGAAAACTGTAATTTTAGTTGATGACATTTTTAAAGTGTGTCAATATCCATGTGGTTTTCTATCAAGGACCAGCCTGCGAGGAGTTCAGGTTTCATATTTAGATTATGATTAGTTGATAATGAAATTCGAACTGAAAATTTAGTTGAGCCTTTTCCTGAAGTGAAAATTTTGCTCTGAACTAGCCGTTTGATTAACAATGCAGCGAGAACATAAATCTATGATTAAGGATTCAGCTTGTTGCATATTGCGCAGCATTCTTAAGCAACATGATCAAGATGTTGGCCAAAAAAGGAAAAAAAACAAAAAACACTCAATCTTGATTCTTGAGGCCATAAAAATCCACTTCTTCAAGTTTTTCATCACATATTTCATTAAAATGAGTTGAACTCATAATTATGATGCCGTCTATGATTGGTTTTTCCGGTAATTCAATTTTATTAGTTACCGTCACCGACAACGTTATTATCATGCATTTGAATGCCATTATTCATGTGACGATGAAACTTTTTCCTGCGGCTTTGTTGCTTCACTTGCTTCTTCGAAAGGAGTACTCACGCAATGAAACGGAAAACAAAACGTCAACAAATACAGCGCTTTTTTAATATTTTAATTATAATTCAGAATCATAAGAGCATCATTATCGTGGGTCGGAGCTTAGCATTTCACGCGTGCCAAAAAACACTGGTCCCGGCGGGGCTCGAACCCGCGACCTTCGGCTCATAAGACCAACGCTCTAACCAACTGAGCTACGGGACCTGACGTTGTTTTTTGTCGGCAAATAATATAACTGTAATATTATGCTTTTCTGACAAAACCATATGTAACACTGCTGAATTGATTTTGAAGACGGTAGAATCCGTTGCTGGGCCACCTATAAACATGCATGAAACTACATTTTGAGCCCATGCCAGAAATAAAACCCTAAAGTCCTCAGAAATCAGGTGTTTGTAATTCAATTTGGGACTTGCTCTGCAGCAGAAGTTCTTCGAACCTATATCAACAATTATCAGCAAAAATGGGATGGTAACAGCTTGGAGGGGACAAGAAGCACCATGGTGATAGTCACCTGGAAGGCACCACAATCTGGGTGGTGCAAACTAAATGTGGATGGGAGGGTGTCGTGCGATGGAATAGCAGGTTGCGGAGGAGTTATAAGGGGAGACTGTGGAGAATGGCTAAGTGGATTTTCAGTTAGATTAAATAATTGCAGCTCTCTGGAAGCCGAAGCATGGGCAGTCCTCGAAGGTTTACTATTATGCTGGGATATGGGGTTCAAAAGAGTTGAGGTAGAGACGGATGCTATACAGATCACTCGAGCTGTGCTATTTAATGACCCGGTAATTGGAAATGTGCAAATATTCACAAGGATCAAGATGATGCTGGAAAAGACGTGGCAAGTGCAGGTGAAACATGGATATAGGTTGCGGATAAAATGGCCCACCTGAGTGCTCAACAAAGTGACAGGAGGAAGATATGGTCCTCGCCACCTCTGGAAGTATGTCAGATGCTCCAAGATGATTGTTCAGGAATAGGTGTCATGCGTAGAGTAAATATGTAACTTCTTGGGTTTTACCCTCCTTCACCAAAAAAAAAAAAAAATATCGGCAAACTAAACAAATGATGGGATGAAGGAAGAAATAATTGCGTACGCAGGTATTAGCATGCGCTTATACATAAATGGATCCGAGTTTAAATTGATTCAGAGCTGTAGCTCTACAGAAAATCAAACGCATCATAGGACTGTGACAAGGGCAGCTAGGCGAGACATATAGCAGAGCTGCTAGCTTTCCCAAGCCTTGTTATAGAAAGATAGTACAGTCAGGTAGATGAAGATGTTAGTAACCATCTAAACAATTACTTGGAAACGTAATTTAATGGGTGTGTCAGCGTCGTCCGAAGATTTTAAGGGCCCCATGACCGTTCCTCCTGGGTAGTTGGGGCAGTCTTAAATTCCCTACCAATATCACTTAATCCTTGAACTCAAGGCTTAAAGGTTAATATAAATTGGGAAGGAGGGGAATGGCATTTTCAAAAACAGAGAGAAGAAGAACTGAAGAAGGCTGAGAAATATGCAGAGAGTGAGCAAGCTTAAGGTGCTGGTGGCGCTAGCTATGATGGTGATGGTGGTGCTTGCTTCGGAGGTTGAGGGAGGACGGAAGCTGAAGGTTCAGGAGCCGCAGAGCTTCTTGGGAGGAGGCACGGGGACAGGCGGGGGGACGTTTCCGAGCCCCGGCGGCTTTGCCGGATTCTTCTGCACTTTCCCAGGAAGCTGTACCCCAATCCTTCCCGCTAACCCAGGCGTGGGAGTGGGATCCCCACCGCACGTATAAACAAGCCAGCCAAGCCACCTCAAACTGGTCACTGCTTATTTTCATGTTCTGTCAGCTTGTTCGTGTGCGCGCGAGTGAATTTGACACTATCGGCATTCCGTATGTTTGTTCCTATTCTTATGTCGCCAGGGCTTCTAGTTTGTGAGCACAGCAAACTTTCTTTTCTTTGTGTAGTTTGAGTGTGGGAGTACGCAGCGTTATCTGAGTGTTTCTCATGAGTGAAGTAGCTAGCATGTCGAATCATATCACCTTTTTTTTCTATAGACCTGAATTAATTATACAGCAATGTGTCTTCATGATCTTGCTCCTTTGGTCCAAGCAGAAGTGTACGCGCAACATAAATCGCCATTTGTTTCCCGAATTGAAAAAGTGGGAACTCTGTATCTGTGTCGTAGGATCTGTCATAAATCAAGACAGTTCACCACTACGCGTATTCTTAGTCAAGAAAGACGCAACTGAACCGCACAAATGTATTGCAGTTAAGAAAGGGCGGATTAAAGGTATAAATGTCGAAGAGCATTGATTTTAATTTGGTAGGCTAAACTACAGCTATAAAGCTATGCGCCCGCTAATAAATTTACAGTAAAGGCAAGGGGTATGGTGAAAGCTCAACGTAGGCAGGAAGTAGGAAGGATCGTGTGCGGGTGGGAGCACTTTAGTAGTGGGATCTCGCTTTTACACGTTGCCTGTGACTCATAAATGATCTCTTTAATTGCTGCCTTTGCTTTTGTGGTGGGCCCACACTGATTTGATTGACTTGAAACCCACATGGGCTGTCTTCTCTCCTCCTCCGATCTCCTACGTGATGCTGGATATTCTTCATAGAGGAAAAATGAAAAAAGAAGATAATCCCACCCCCATATGACATATTCTTCAAATCTGGGTCTTTTTACGTGATGTGTGTGTGTAGGCGATATAGCCATTAAGGCCTCGCCCATTTCCTTGCACCAATAATTGTTAGAAAAATCACAAACCTTCAACAGGATATATTCATTAGGACCATCCGTCTTTCAAATTCGCAGTGAAAAAAATAATTTATTTTTAATTTCATTTTTTAAAAAATTAGATTGAATAATAAAAATAAGATTAGGTAACATAATTTATATTTAGATTGATTTTTATAAAATTAATTTGTAAATTAGAAAAATTATTTGAATTGTGATTGAATAAGTAAATTTAGTTTACAGAATAATCTTATTAAATAATAAAAAAATTAAAAATATGAATTAACAAAATATAATAATTTTAAATTATCATAATAGGATGAAGTTATATTTAATGAATAAAATATATTTAAATTAGAAATGTCAAAATTTTCAAAGCAAATAATATTACACAATTCATATAAAATAAAAATAATATTAAAAATTAAAAATATTATAAAAACTGTTAAAAATTATTTGTACTTAAAAAAATTAAAAATAAATACTAAAAACTTATTGGGAATCACAAAAAATATATTAAAAAAAAGTGTAACAATAGCATAAACATAATAGCAAAAATGTCTTTTAATTGTAAAAAATTGTTTTTGCATAAACCATATGTAAGTTTTAAAAAACAACGTTTAATTCATAAGTCAGATTAGCTAAAATTTGTCACAAATCTTATCATATTTATAAATTTCTGTTTTGTCCATCAAATGCCCCCACGAAACAGGCACTGTAATGGCTGGATCTAATTTGATAGCAACACAGGGAAATTCATTTCCTCTAACCAATAAAAAGGTGATGGCAAAAAAAAAAAAACAGTAAAAAGGTAGTCGTCATCCAGATACGTTAGTTCATCCTCACTCGAAAAACTGTGCATGGTTAAAAAGCTAGCCGACACGATGGCACAGGAATTTTTCTTTTTCCTAAAAATATTGACAAGGATCGGTATATTTAATACTTTTCAGCCAGGTATAAGAAAATGCGGGGTAACATGCAACGCAGAGAGAGCACAGCAGTAGGAGCACCGCTTTCAGTGGCCATCGCCAAAAAGGAAGCTGAACCCTTTTAAAATCAGCCGTAATAATCCAAATGTCACCACAGCAATAAGCGGCGAGATGATGCCCGCGCGATGAACCGGGTAGGGACTAGGGACTCGCCAAAGAAGGAAATAAAATATGAATTGAGGGGCTTAAAAAGAAGATAATTAAAAGAAAAGAGGACGAATTACAGGAGACGACAAGAATTCCAAGGGCGTGATCCTTAAGGACAAAGTAATATGTTTTTCTTTATCCTCACAATCCTCTTTCATGCGACACTTTTCCGCTTTTCCCTCTCCATCTTCCCCCTCTCACTCTGCCCCTTCTGTCTTTTTAATTCCCCATTCCCCCTTCCCTCTGAAATCTAAACCTCCGCTCTCCCTCCCCTTCTCCACATCACAATGGCCAAACCTCCTCTTTCTTTCTTCCTCCTCCTTCTCTACTGTTCCGGTGAGTCCTTTACTCTTCACGCCCTCTTCTTTACTTGTCACTCTTTTATTCTCTGCTTACTCCCCTTTCGTATTCTTTTCAGGATTCATGCTGCTCATCTTCTCCGATCGCTACTCTTCCGCCCCACCTGTCGCCAATATCGTCCTCTCTCACATTCCGATCATCGGCAAGATCCTCCCCAGAAGAACTTTAGGTGACACCACCGTCATCACTGTGCCCTCCAGCAATCCTGTCACTGTCTACCCCACCAATCCATCTGCAGTGCCTGTCACTGTACCTTCCTCGAATTCCCCCGTACCGGTTGCGGCTTATCCTCCTCCGTCTCCGTCGTCGACCGGTGTCCCGGTCACAAATTCTCAACCACCACCTCCATCCGCCACTAATGCTGCTCCTGCCGTTTCTGGGCAGAAGTGGTGTGTGGCTAAATCTGGAGTTTCACAATCTGTTCTTCAATCCGCGCTTGACTATGCTTGTGGAATGGGAGGTATCGACTGCTCTCAGATCCAGCAGGGAGGGAGTTGTTACAATCCCGACACTCTGCAGAACCACGCATCTTTTGCCTTCAACGCCTACTACCAAAAGAACCCCGCTCCGACCAGTTGTGACTTCGGAGGCACCGCCACCTTAGTTACCACCAACCCTAGTAAGCTTGATCTTGTTATTTTAGCCACATAATTACTTGTCTCGTGTGTGATTCACCCTACTGAGTACACTACATTTTTCCCCTGAAATAGGCACGGGCTCTTGCGTTTACCCAGCGTCTTCGTCGTCGTTGTCGTCGCCAACAACTCCGACACCATCATCCCCAACAACTCCGTCGTCATCTTCTTCGTCGCCGCCGCCAACATCTGCGTCGTCGTCGTCGTCGTCATCATCACCGACGAAATCTCCAACTCCAACAACACCGTCATCATCAGGAGGAGGTACTCTTGGGTGAGTTAAAAGTGACATGGTTTCACCAATTCTCCAATGTTGACCATTAAGCCTCAATGGATGCTAACGTTAGCGTGTGCGTGTTATCACTGTTTGCAGTTATGGTCGCCCGACATCATCGGCGCCGTTGACTTCGAGCAATCCGACGTCAGGATATATGCCACTTGTCGGGTCGCAAAGCCCACCTTCCACTTCCTGGTCGCATTCAAGTGGTGTCAGACCTTTTGTTGCCCTCACGGTTCTGCTGATATGGTTGGTCACTGCGAACCTCAACATGCGCACTTAGAAGAGGACGACCAGTAGCTCTATTATTATGACTTGGGTGAGTGTACTAGTAGTAGAATTTAAGTAAATTGCGGTTTCTGGCTTCTGGGCTGTTATGTTGCTGCACGGGTTGTGGTAATGTACATCGTTTGCAAGAGCTATAGTATATTAGTCATTAGTGTGAGGTGTAATGGTGACAGACCTACTTCAAATTCATTTGCATAAATGGGAGATTGACATTCATATCACACTATTGTCCGCCCATATGCTTGAAAACCCAATCTGCTCCAATTATCAAATAAGCGAGTTCTGTTTCGAACGGGCATGTCACATATTCGGTAGTCGTAGGATTGAAGCGTATAACCACGCACTCTCGTATCTTGTTGGCAAATCAGTCTGTTCCTGTCCGAGATACCAAATCGAGGGTCCTCCACAGAAGCACCTTATCACTTCAGCGTTGGTTGCTAATTGTGAACGCTTACTGAGAAAGACAGAAGACAAGACCCAAATTATCAGAAACAGCTGACGTTTATGAAGTGCATGACTCATCCCAGAGAATGCGCAAAAAGACATAGAGTGACGGCACAAGCACAGCTAATCAGACTTGGTTGTAATTTTACACTAGAATCTTAAAGGCGTTAGCTGAAGCTAATCAGCTAAACTATTGTATATCTAAACAGTATTCCTTTCCTAGTTTCTACCAGCAAAATGGTTTCTCATACTTCCCTGGACTTTCCTAGCATCTTGAACTACTTCACAACGGAAAGGACATTGAGGGCCCAATCACCGCTTCGAGAACACCACCAAGATCAGCATGGACATGGAGGCCACGATTTTGAATCCAGAGCAATCCCAGAAATTTTGGTTTTGCTTTTCTGCACACACTTCACTTCGTTGTTTTGCTTCTAACTGATCTCTCAGATCTTTTATAGCTTTGTCCCGTCTCTCTTCCATCTGTATCCACAAAACCATATATCATACGTGTCATTTGCCTGGGGCGTGGATTCATTTATATGCTTACTCATTGAGAATGAAACCAACTCTTTCATAATTCAATGTATATCCTGACTCAAACAGCAATTCATAAAACAAATCCTGAAAATTGTAATGGCAGCACCGTAGAGTGCAAATCACGCAGAACAAAAGATGTTATGCAGCTAAGAGCGAAAATCTTACCTTGTGAAGCTTTCGCGTCTGACAACGGGCTTCTTGCAGACAAAATTCCAATTTCAGCACCCTCTTCTTCAGCTCCTGATCAACACACCGCTGTTTCTCTAACTGTAATTTAAAACACCCGGATATTCATAAATACATGAGCCATGATGCTTGAAGAACATAAACAAAGCAATAAATAAATGAGTACTTGCGCGGGCAGACGGAAGCTGGATTTACCTGTGATTCTAATTCCTCAATCTTGAGCTTCGAACAAGAAGACATGATCTTAATTTCATCCTTAAGTTTTGCTATTTCTTCATCCTTGACAATTAGAAGCTCATTTATCTTCTCGAAGTTCCTAGGAGAAACTTCACCTAATATTTTCCTCAATTTACAGTTCTTGTTCGCTTCAGCTTTCGCAAAGGCTTCCATGATATCGTGTTCAATCTGCAGAATGCCATCTTTCAGTTGCTTCTGTGAAGATTCCCTTGCCTGAAGATCCTTCTGTAGATTATCTACTTGCTGTCCCATCCAAATGACACAAACCTCATGCTCTTTCAGTGAACGATTTTTCTCATATAATTCTTTGGCGAGTTCTGCATAGTGGAGATCTGCTGATTGAGCTGATGCGACACTTGCCTCAGCAGCTGCTCTAGTTGCTGCGATCTGTGTTCTAAGATCATCTAACTCATTTAGATACTGCATCAAAATTAAACGATAAGTTAATAAATGACAAGCACGTTACTAATTGGGCTGCCACCAATAAACACGATTCATTGTGATTTTACTATAATGACGTTGTGCTGCACAATTACAAGAGATTTCAAGCGAGTGCGCTCACCGACAGGATTTAATGTTAACAATAGATTGTTTTCAAGTCTAGTTATAAATGTCAGAGTGCCTGAGGCCTCTCTCATGATCTATCTTGATTCGATCAACAATTTTCACCTGCCTTCATGCCAGATGTCCTAATACATTCATGCGTATAGATCGCCAGAGGGAGAGAGAGTAATTTTAGATCCGCCGTCTAATTTTCATTTTTGTTTTATTACATTAATTAAAAAAAAAAAAAAAAAGGTGCACGGTATATCGTTGAATGTGACAAGAAACTGAGAATGCGCTAGGAATTCCGGATTCGGGGCAGATCTAGTGCCCGTAGCCCTGTACGCCTAACAAACTGTTGAACCTAAGGAAAAGAAAGAGGGGGAGCGGGGGGGAAGAAAAACAGAGACAAATAAATAATGTCCACCACAGTGAAATATGCTGTACAGCTGTGGACGTAGAAAAGTCCGCAGAATTTGAAATCGTTGCACCTTGGCTTTAGTTTAGTGGCTGTTAGAAGTCAAAAGTAAAATAATAAAGACATTCACTTTGGTCGCACAGTATTGGCAAAGCCACTCGGATCTAGTGATCAAGCTGTTATGCAAATAAATCTGTTCGAGGATGTGCGCAAAAAAAAAAAAAAAAAAAACAAAACAAATCAAGGTAGGTAACAAGTTAAACGAGCAACAATCGGGTGCCGTTTAATTTAAAAATATTTTACTAATCCTGTTGACAATGTGGCTACAGAATTTGCCACCTTCAAGGAGCAAATATCATAAACTACAAGATAATTCAGGCTAACGGGGAGTTAACAACATAATGATAACACCAAAGCATTCAGTCACCCTTTCTTCCCATGGGCTCCACCATAAACGAAATTGGAATATGAAAAAAATATTTGCTCAGATAAGCATCGAATATGCACGGTTCGTTTATGACCAAAAATAGGTTAATACAAAATACATAAGATAGAGAATTGTATTAAAATTTCATATGTGCAAACAAAATTGAACAACTCTGATTAGAATGAGATTGTTTTTTAAACGAGGAAACGTTAAAAAAAAATGATTAAAATCAAAACCTTCTCAGCAGTAGCGGCTGAAGCTTGAAGTTGCTCGTTTCTCTCCTCCAATCTCCTCCGCAACCTACCAATTTCCTCTTCCATGCTTCTGGCTTTAATCTCTGCTTCCTGCGAGAAAAATTCATAAAATATATCTAGATTAAAGTTTGTCCCCAGTGAGCCACAAAATAGAAGGAGAAATGATTGTCTTACAACTTTCAAGATTATTATTATCATATAGTTGTTATGTACCTGTCTTGTTAGGGTTTCTTTGGCAAATGATTGCTCTTGTGATATAAGGCGGCTCCGCGCCTCCTTCAACTCTGCAGCTAATGACACCACGTTGCGCCTAAAACTCTGCTTCCTTTCATTTAAATCCTTTATCAGTGGATCAATATCTCGAGCTGCTACTGATGACAACGGCAAAGATTGGGACGACGATGGCTTCTCCAAGGTTGACATGGTTAATAAAATAGAAATTTTAAATTCAATATACAAATGCTCTGAATCCACTTTTACGAACACGAGACCAGCAGTTTCCGGTCTATCATAGGAAACATATTATCGCCGTTCCGCCTGGAGATGTGTTAGCTGGACATCAGATTCGAATGCACTTCAAGACAAAAGATATATATCAGTTTAGAAGAAAAATAAGCTAGGACGAGGCTCTACTTGCAAGGAAATCGTACTACTCCTCCGGTCCTTATTACCCAATTTGACTTTTTATTTGGTCCTAATTATAAGACCCAATCCATTTGTCTCTTATATTTATGTATTTTTTCCAAGATAATCCTTCTAATAATGATAGTTTTAGCCATATACTTAATTAGCAAGGATATTTTAGGAATGACAATACTTATTATTATAAATAACCAACTTAACTTACTTCCTTAATCTCCTCAATAAGTCAATTGGGTTTATAATTAGGATTGGAGGAGTATTTTGCAAGGAAAGGTTTCAAACAACAACTCAAATCGAGGCGGTCTTCACTGCCAGATACTGTATAGTTTTTGGGGGTGGGGGAAATTTAGTCCAATAAAAATTAACTAATTTCAACAGGCACACAGCAGGCCAAATATCCACCTCCAAATCCAATATTCTCTTTTTTTTTTTGGCCGAAAAAATCCAACGGCCCACCGTGGGTCTGTTTGTCAACGTCGAACAATAAATAATGAAGGAGCGTGGAAAACAGGAGAAAGACAAAATGAAAATTAATGAGTTGCTGTTTGTGAAGTTTCAAAAAGATTTGAACCACAAGTTCAGAAAGTCTGTGCAGGTTTCGAGATACCCCTCCCCCAGGGGAACGTCCCAAGTTCGACCTGAATCGGGAAGAACAACATCAACTCTCGCCCTCAATTTCAGGGAAGAAAGAGACATTAAGAACAGGTTCAAGAAAGCATGAAGCTCGCATGGTTTGCAAAGAATCTTAAAATCGATTAGCGGATAATGGTTTGAAAGGAGAGATACCACGTTCAGTGAATACCTCATTTACGGTCAGTCTCCGTCTTCGATCTTCGGTATTTTTCAGCTCGAACCATCTGCTGGAAATCCGTAACAATAAAAAAGAAAAGGACCTAAGTGCACAAGTGAAGTATTTTCTGATTAAACTTGGTATTTATTTCATGCATTTTGTCTCCTTGTGCTGTCTGTAAGCGAGAGACGCTTGTTGGAAGCGCCATGCCAAGAGCATGAAAGGGAGGAAGCAGAGGTTAGGTTCGGATTGGAAGCTAGGCTCGTCAACGCAGGTGCGGAGTTTTCGAACCTCGGGTTTGGCGACGTGATGAATTCCGAAGCCCCAACTAGGGTCCCATGGTGATGACCACCAAAGACCTAGCGCGGCAAAACCAAATTTTAGCCTGGGCCAATCATTTTGAAACACGTGCATATACAAGGAAGCTCATCACGTAGAGCCCTCAGGCTGAAATTCAAAACGAAAAGTTGGGCTTTTCGGCCACGACAGTAGGCCTCAATTTCAACTGACAAGCCCATAGGCCTAGTTTGGATTGCCCGTTGCAGATAGTAAAAGCACACGGAAAAACATAAAACTGAAGTTTGTGACTTATCGTGGTTCAAAAGATTGTTTGGATAGAACTTTTTTTCTAATTGACTTATGAAAAAAAGTACCTTTTCTAACTGACTTATCTAATGTAATCTGGATCAACTTTTCTAACTGACTTATGAAAAAATTGTGTAAAACTTACTACCTAATTAGTTATATGATTCCGTTTATTTTAATTAGAGATCAAATGAATTTTAATTTATATTTATGTTTATCCATTATATATATTTAATTAATTATTTATAATGTGTTTTCAAATTTTTTTCCGTAACAAATATTTTTATTTTATAATTTTACAAATAAACTATTTATATTTTATCATAATAATTTTACGTGTTTTTTAAACTATTATCACATTAAAAACATAAAATTTCAAATACTACTCATACCCTTTTTAGTCATTTTACAACTAAACTAACTTTTCTATCAATTATCCAAACAACTTTTAACTTTTTCAACTGATTTTTTAAAAACACTTATCCAAATATAAATCACATTACAATGACTAACTTTTACTCTAACTTCATTACAAAATCAGTTAGGTTAAAAACCAGTTTTTTCTAGCTTAATCCAAACATTCCCATACAAGTCGCCCTTTGCGTCCTGCGAATTCACCCGCACTCCCCACCACCTCAACCCATCGTATTCTTATCCGAGATAGGAATTTAGAACCTTCCCCCTTTTCCGGCCAAAAAAAAAAAAAACCTTTGCTACTTGGTTATATTGTTTTGAATCTGGGTTTTGCACATGATTATTTTTCCTGGGTTTTCATTCCAAACATGATTTTCACGAATGGTCCAAACCATAACTCGTCCTCCAACTCCAAGACCATGCCAGCACGACTCCTTCTGTATACTAGATGATAGACTGTAAACAAATGCAGTTCCGCAGAGCCGGTGAACGGGCTAACGTAACCAAGAACGCAATGTCAGTTTCCCGGATTCCTAAAATTCAAACGATGAAGATTCCAAATGAAAATGAGATTAGGGTGAATGTTAGCATGAACTGGCCCAATGGATGTTACAAGCATGGAACAACCTAAGAATCTTTTATTATACATGTTTACAAGGATAGCTCCGCCATATCAACATCCACGTAACTCCTAAGGTCATTCAGCTCCCCCTGCTAAGTCACGTACTTGCAGCACTATCTCTACTACTTAGAAACTCCATGGTACCAAAACCATCATAACCGACATTTGCAACCTACTGAATTGTTGCCGTTATTCATCTGAAAGATTCCTACACCCATTTCCCTGCACTGCACATAAGCAAATTGTCATTCTTCACGGTATCCATAATCCATAATAAATAAAATAACAAGAAAAAAATAATTGCAATAAAGAAAATAAAGTGGTGTCTTCAGGTTAGACATAAAATAAGGCGAGAGCCTCTCGCTGCTTTAGCATGGTTTGTACTTTAGTATCCCTGTAATCGGCAGGTCCAAAATTCTATCACACGTAGCTGACTGAAGCGACCAGGAATAAAATCCCTGTTCTTTATTCTTTCGCGTGACCAAAAATTGCTTTTAATGGCAAGAATAAGTATGAAAAAGACGCAATTGATAGAACTAGATCTGTTCAAAGTAAAGGAGCAGGAAACACAAGACGAGCTGCCAGTCACCAGAAAAACCAAACACGTATCTGAGTTACTGAAAAAAGACAACATACTGTCACCAAAAAAAAAAAAAGACAACATACGCTTCGCTAGCGTTGAATCTTATCTGCTAATCGCTGCAAGGACATGCACCTTATTTTGGAAAAGGAGTAAAGAGACATGTTGGGCTCCAAAAAAAAAAAAAAAAAAAAAATGATACTGTAAGATGATGAGACAAATATAATAGATACTTCATGATAAAGTAGCCCGGTTTTCTAACCACTTCGACGGGATTCTCTGACAAACGAGCATGCAAAGAAAACATACCAAGTAGTAAGCATATCACTGGAGTGGAGTCTGGAGAACACCAAAGCTCCATCAAGACTCGGGAGATAAGATAATAACAATGACAAAAATCTAATTAAAAATTAAAAAAAGGAAGTTCAAACCTCAGTTTTGTCTTTCATAATATAAATGATATATCCTCTATATTTGGCAGGAAGAAGCTGAGGAGGGGGATTTCGATCTACCACACATACAAAATAGAAATAAACAAGACATGAGTAGAAGTCACGCTTCTATAAATTAAGGGTCTATGATGAGAAAAAGGGTTAAATAACACTGAAATTGAAACGTATAGACGGACAAAATTCGAATGCAACATAACTAAAGTTCTGTAATTTCTCAAGCGTTCATGGAAAATGCTAGGATATAAGTTACTTATTTCCGCACAATCACTACGAGTTTTTAAAATGGAAGAAACGCCCAAATTGATGCTAAGTCAAGCCATGTATGACCCAGTGGATTTCAGCATCTGCTAAATCCAAGTAGTATTTGCGTTCAGAACAAGGAGATCCTCATTAGACTTGGCAGTTGGCACCTCGTATTCGGCCATCGCCAATTTCAGAGCTAAATTATATTACGTCCAGTCGGAACTATATATTTACAAATATTAATTATGAAATAAATAAATAAATAAGAAACTACCTCGTACAAAGCGGATGTATTATCCAAATGAGTTCAGAGAACACCTCTTCAATTAGAAAGAAGGGCACAGGTGAACTTATTGCGCACAAGCTGATTAATTGCATCCCTGAACTTGTAATAATCATCAGCTTTGTTGTAAACTTGATGAGAAATCCGGGCATATCCAGTCACTAATCCAATTTCCCCATCTTTTGATGGCCTGTAATATATAGGCACTTCAACGCCAAAATCATCCCTCAAATGTGCTCTTAGGTTCAGTGCATCAGAATCGCTCGATATACCCAAGCAAGTTGGTAACCCTACCATAACCATGCTCGCACACATATCAGGAGGACTACCAAGATGGGTTCCCCACGCCGTGGCCAACATTCGTCCCATCTCCACAACAGCTTCATGATTCCTCTTCTTGATTCCTTCAATACCGCCTTCAAATCTACTGACAAATTCCAAAACTTCGGGAACCACCAATTGTGCACTATAATCTCTTGTGCCAATCCAGGCACTTTCAGTGGCCAACCCATTACCATACTCATGGGACACCACGGGATGATGCAATTCAGAGCAGCTAGGCGACTTCCGACTGTACAAAACGGCAACGGAAGGCGGGCAAAAGAACCATTTGTGCAAATTGGTGGTATAAAAGTCTGCCCCGATCTCTTTCACATCGACATCAATACACCCAATAGCATGAGCTGCGTCCACGAAAACTTGGTCAACGCCTTCTTCCCTACAAATCTTTACCAAGTCCCTAACAGGGATAACCACACTCGGCATTGAAGTGACGTGATCAATCACAGCTAGCCTAACCCTGCTACCGTCAGTTTTTCCTCTCTCCAGCGCCCTCCTAAATTCACTGATAATTTCCTCATTAGAATTCACAGGAAAAGGCAGCTGAACCTCAATAACTTTACCTCCGGCGCGCGTAACATAGGCCTCCATTGACTTCTTGACGCTACCGTAAGCGTAATGAAGCATAACAACGGCGTCCCCTTTTTGAAATTTTCCCTCTTGAAAGGCCCAGGCAGTCTGCTGAAGGACGATAGCAGCAGCCGTGGTGGCGTTATCAACTATAGAAATCTCATCGACGTGGTCAGCATTAATAATTTCCTTGATAACAGTCCTGGAATGAAGAATCCCCTTCTTGAGCTCGTTGAAATAGAAATGGTCCGGCTGGCGGAGATTCTTCATCTGCCATTTTTGCTGAGCGGCAATTACAGAAGCGGGGCAGCAACCAAAGCTACCGTTGTTAATCCGTGCAACGGCGGGGTCATGATGAGCGAATTCGGATTGAATTTCGGAGTCAGTAATGAAGGAACCAAGCTTGGGCTTTTTGGGTACGTGAGAAACGGAACTGTCGCCGTTGAGGTGATTATCGTCGTTTTTGTGATTATGATGGTGGTTGTTAGAAGCCATTGGAAGGCGAAGAAGATGAGTGAAAAGGGCTAGGGTTTTCCCACGCCAAGAGATGAACCCGAGGAAAAGAATGGCGTGGCCATACTCCCGAGTCACGATGGACGGTGGGGAAATGAGTTGGGAATACAGACATGTGTCACCTGAAAAGCGGATGATCTATATATCTATTATTTACACGTCATGCTTCCGCGCAATAAATCATGTCAATGTAAAATTCATCCGCGCAACGTCCTCCAATACACTTGCAAATTAAACATTTTCAGGTCAAAAAAATAAGACCCGATAAATTAGGTGAAATTACGCTTTAAATAAGGTTGTGCGACGAGATTGGTGCGTAACATATGTAATGAATATTAATCAAGAGACTAAATTCATTTAATGTAAGGAAACAAGATCTAAAAAAGTGATGACAGAATATTAACAAATAAATGATAATTGAAGGGATCCCAGGGTCGATAGTGTCCTAAGTCCCTCACTGCCGCACATCCATCCTTTTCTTTTTCCAAAACCCTCCTCCTCATTCTCATCAAAATGACACCCTCCACCTTACTATAATCATAAAATTTGTGTTGCCTTCCCAATTGCTTTCAAAAATAATAATAATAATAATAAGGCCGCCCAAAGAATAAAGCCAAGGCTCAACCCGGCCATCCAATTATGTTTCAGCATTTAGACAACAATAAACGCTGACATCGATCACACCAAGCCAAAAAATATAAATTCAAGAATGTACTAGAGTCTACAAAGTGGCGCACCCACGAGATAGAGATAAAAACCAGTAGATACAAAACAAAACCACGCAGGATATTACATGGCTGACCCTCGGCTGCAACACCATCTTTGCACTACTCTTCGTCGCTATCACAGCTAAATATAGAAGACATGGCAACTTCTTGCTTCTTTGCAGATCCCTCAGATGAGTTATAAGAATTGGATGAGGAAAAATTATGAGAATAGTGTTAGCCACACATATCGTTCATAATAACATGAACAGATTAGAGGGGTTAAAACTAATGAGACAATGTGTACAGTAAATAAGTTTCACAAACCAACGTATGGGGGGAAAACACACTAGCATGGTTGAGCATCATGGGGTGCATAGTCGGCTTCCTCCCAAAACCCTACATTCATTTAATTATGTATGAGAAAAATTCAGTAAATATAATCAAATATTTAGTTGGACATACCTTGGAAGCACTGCCTTTCGAAGCAAACCCAAACTTAAACTTCGAAGTCTTCCGCTGGTCCTGATCAGCATGGGCGGTAGCAGTTCTAGATTCACAGGAAACCGAAGCAGGGCCAGATTCTTCGTGTTGCTGTTGAATCTGTTGCTGCTTCTGCGCATCAGCACTGGTTGACACGAAAGATTCCAATCACAACATGACATGGAAAGAAGGCTACCAAGATGACATCAATTCCTTCACCAACCACCCATCTACAACCCAAAAATTGGGGGGGGGGGGAATGAAGGTAATACGAAGCTTGAGAAAGAGCACAATATCACGTACCAAAGCAAAGGGATACCTTTGAGCGAACTTAGCCATTTCTCTCTCTTGACGTTGTTTTTCTCGCTTTTGCCTCGCATCCCGACTGCTGTCACCATGCATTTCCTTCATTTGTTTGAAGCCCTGTAGCCCCCATCAGGGAAGTTGCATCAGTAAGGGGGGACATTAGAACTGACTTTGACATCAGAGTTAGATTAAGTTGCCCAGGTGCCTACCTTTCCGTGATTGTGATCATATGAGTTCAGGTGAGCTTAAAATACCATTGCTAATTTGTATTGCTTGTTGCAGAGATCACAATAAAAAACTTTTGGTATCACTTTAACATCAGCTTGAATTTTTTGCTCCTGTTCTGCTAACACCTGGATTTTGATAATGTGCACGAAGCAGGCAGAAGAAGCCCCCAGGTAATACAAACCGTAGGAAATTCTCAAGACCTTCCCAAGTTGATGGTTCCCTATGACATACCCATCTAGTCAAGGAGACAGGCATATAAACTATATGCAGCCTTCTGCTAATAGGTGCAGGTTTCAGAAAATTTAAAACATCAACTTCTATGCTACTACATGACTTTGGGACCAAGAGTAACTACAAAGTATTGTTACATCATACCTCCCGCTTCCTCACATTTTCCTCTGTCTCCTCTAGCTCGACATAAGTTTCTTTCTTCTTGTTTGCCTATTCCCAATTTTGGATCTCTTATTCCAGATTTTATTGGTTCAATAATTCCTGCAGATATAGCAGCCCAATATTAAAACAGGAAGGGGGAAAGGAAAGTAAAGAGCTGGAAAAGTGCCCACCTAAAGTCAAAGTCAAGCGCACACACGGGTCATTCAGTGAGATCAAACAATTGATAAGACTTGAGAAAATAATAGCAACTTACAATATGCAGATGGTCAACTGCAGTATTAAATGTCAGAAACATCACTTTCCTCAACGTTTAGAAATATACAAAACCAATAAAAATACATCACTTGTTTTCTAAGAATTCAATAACCTTGCTCATCCTTTCCAAGAGACCCTTTCCTCTCCATCCCATCTTTTGGAGAAGCTTGAACCCGATATTTGATGATGTTAGCTGAGTGTCTAATGATGCTTGCTCCACATTATCCGGATCAACATTTTCTGTTGGCCGTTGGTTGATTGGCAACCAGAAACCCCCAGATATATCATCACTAAGGGAGTCTTCATGCGTCCGTAAAAATAATTCAGCTCATTGCGTAGAAAATCACAGCGATGGTTGAGTATTTACAATACAAGCCAATTGACATGATATACAAATAATTTTTAACAGTATTACAAGATGAATTTCTTAACGACATCCAGAGAAGAGCAAACCAAAGAGGAGTCAACTTGATTCAAAGATTAATTTATTACCCGTTCATTTCCAACTTGCATCCTGTCACAGGCACCAGTTTCCTGCCTACTCTCGGTCCACCGATATTCCATTTTGTATCTACCCAGGTCATGAAAATCAAACAAACAACACAAAGATTGTTAACAAAGTAGGTGCACAGATGTATTACATCATGCAGCTCAGAAATCAAAAGCTGTACCTAAATCTGAATATCTGAATTCAACACCATTGGGCATTGGATTTTGTCAAACACTCAGAAAAAGAGCATGATCAGTTCAAAATCACAGCCTGTGAGACAAAATAAAATTATGAGTGCAGGGTTTGGAACTATAATTTCCCACGACAGGCAAGCGTCAACGCAAGTGAATGAGTCCGTGTTTACGGCCCCTAGAATAAAATATTCATCCTCATAGCATCCAAACATACTCGAGAGCTGTATTCAGAGCGATAGAGTGATTGAACTCTTTTTTGGTTTTTTTTTCAGAGATAGCGTGAATCAGCTCTAAATGAATTACACCATGGTGGCAATCTCGTGCAAGAATCAATATATGGTCTCAAAATATTATCTCGAGTTTCATTTCTTTCTTCAGAGTTCATACCCTCTCATAGTGAGGATTGTTTATAGATCAACATCATGTTTGAAATTAGAGTAGAATCCGTTTTTAGAATTCTATCAGTACTTTAATATTGTAGAACTCATTAATTAATATATTCTGCAACAATTTTTCTATGATTTCACCCACGGCAGTAGTTTCCACTGCAGTGATAAAGATTATAAGACATGTTCACGACTGGAAGGAAGGTCTAAGGACGATAAACATGCGACCGTGCAAAGAATGAAAGAAACATCAGTAGACCTCAAAAGATACCATCTTTCACCATTTAAAAAGGGGCAAACAAAAAAAATGAAAACCCAGCATAGGAAGTCGTTTTGGGAGATGGTCAGAAAGTTGGCGGGATTTGGAGAACCCTAGACTATGTATAAGGTCAGCAGCGCCGCACCATACGCAGCAGTAATTGGAAATTAATAGGGTGTTTGCCTAACTCTAAAAAACGTTTTTGAAAATCATTTTTTAATAAATCGTTCGTATATTATAAAAATATTTTTAAAATCATAACTTTCTATCTATCCAAACACTTTTTAAATTGAATACCGGAGCATGAAGGAACATCAGGGATTATCTGGAACAGCAAGTACCTTAATTTATAGACGAGTGTCGGAGTCCTCACGGATGTGTGGGGAGGTGATCCCGACCACGGTGATCCACATCGGTTCTTCGAGACGACGTAGTGTCGATGGAACTGGCGAAAAGCCGAAAACATGATTGATGGACCAGGTCGTATTATTGGATCAGAGCGAATTTTGGGTTTATCAGCTTGGACATGAAGTCGGCCTATGAAAAACCCAGGACCAGAGATTTTGACGGTGTTGGCCCAAAAGTTCGAAAAGACGGGCCGTCAACGTTCCCGTTTTAGTCCCAAAAAAGAGTATGCCAATTTTTTTGGTAACATCATGACCATGCTAATTGATAATTAATAATTATCTAAATTTGATTGTTTCATGCCCAAAAAAAATCCAATAATTGAAGACAAATTTGAATTATGGAAATGGGAAGGCTTTATCCTCAAGGTGGAAATCCTGATTTCAAATATTAGCAATAATAGTTACTTTAGAACCCCCATAAGATATCAAGTTATTATATATAAATAATAAATAATATGATTTGCTTTTTAAAATTATTTGTACTGTATAGAAAACTCTGTGATAATTCATCTAATATATACCACTTCTAATTCTTAATAGAAGAGTCAATTTGACTTTCAATTTGGTCCCAAATATAATTTTCAATCTATTTTATCTCTCATATTTATTATTTTTAAAATAATCCTTATAATAGATATACATATAAAAAATTTCATCAAAGGCTAATTCTTACAAATTACTGAACTAATTATCATGTCAAACGCATATAAAACGGCGAAATGGGAATCAGACACTGGGGGGACCAGTATTCCGTACGCAGGCGTGGTGTGTTAAGACCTGACAGCGCAACAAGGGACATGTGCCAAACCTTATATTCCTGAGCTAACAAACCCTGAAAACTTGAAAAGAAGGAAGGCTACCTCCCACAATCTAAATCCTGTGAGCTTATTACCTACTATTCTCCTTTTGCTTTTATTTCTTGTTTAATTTATTTATGAAAGAAAGTCCATATTAAAAGAAACAGGGAAGCGCAGTTATCTGGAAAAAGCCGGA